GACCCCACACTGAGTGTGCTGGAGCTGTGGGGGGCAGAGTATCAGGAGAGCAATGCCCTGCTGCTCCGTCCATCCGACAGGTCCTTCCTGGAGAGGGTTTGTCAGAGGGAGAAGTGCCCTGTTGACTTTGTGGGAAACATTACTGGAGACGGCAAGGCATGTTTCAGCCTGGATCAAGTGGATAAATGCACATCCACTTTACTAATCAATCCGAACAAAGTATCACACTAAAATAGGCTCAAAATAAGGGTCATTGTGTTTATTTCAATCTCCCACAGATTGTGCTGGTGGATGATGAGGGAGGCAGCGGTGATCAAGCAGACAAGGGGCGCTGTCCCGTCGACCTGCAGCTAGAGTGGGTTCTAGGTAAGATGCCGCAGAAGGAGTTTAAGATGGAGCGTCTGGCCGCGATGCATCAGCCACTGTCTCTTCCTGCGGGGCTGAAAGTCAAAGATGCACTGGACAGAGTTTTACGTTTGCCTGCTGTGGCGTCCAAACGCTACCTGACTAACAAGGTGTGTGTTAAAGCTCTGTCTTACTCTGTGTCCATCTTTAGAAGTACATCTGCGCAGATGCTTTGTGACTCTCCATGTCTCCTCTCCCTCCCCTCTCTCAGGTGGACCGGTCCGTGACTGGGTTGGTTGCCCAGCAACAATGCGTTGGCCCTCTTCACACCCCATTGGCCGATGTGGCTGTTGTTGCTCTGTCACCGTTCAGCCTGGAGGGAGCAGCTACTGCCATCGGTGAGCAGCCAATTAAAGGCCTAGTCTGTCCTGCAGCGGGTGCTCGCATGGCCGTTGCAGAGGCTCTGACCAATCTGGTGTTTGCCAGAGTCACAGCTCTGAAGGTGAGAGGATGATGGAGAGAGTGAGGAAAATCACACATTTAAATCAAAGCACATGATGGTCTTTTTCAATGGATAAAGCACGCTTCTGTCCCTTCGTACTAAATGATCTCTGTAGACCAGATCTTCTTCATGTTAGAATCGCTATAATTTCGAGTTTTGAGAAAATAAAGATTTTGTTGATCCTCCTCGTCATGTGTTTCAGGATGTGAAGTGCAGCGGTAATTGGATGTGGGCTGCCAAGCTGCCCGGTGAGGGAGCCTGTCTGTGGGAGGCCTGCAAAGCCATGTGCGAGGTCATGGGTCAGCTTGGAGTGGCCGTTGATGGCGGCAAGGACTCTCTGAGTATGGCTGCTAGAGTGGGGAAAGAGACAGTCAAAGCTCCAGGTACTGTGTGTGTGTGTGTGTCTGTGTGTCTGTGTGTGTCTGTGTGTCTGACTGTATTTCTGTCTATAACTGTGTTTGTGTGTCTTAGTTAAACTTGCCTTTCCTTCTGCTTCAGGTGCTCTGGTTATTTCGGCATATGCTGTTTGTCCTGACATCACGGCCACTGTGACGCCCGATCTCGAGGATCCAGATGGCAAAGGTATTTCTCACCCAAACATACATTCAAACGAGATTGCTCATAATCAGTTAGGACAATATGTCTGATTATCTTTCTTCTCAGTTTGTAATGTCAGAAAATAGGACTTTTGAATAGAAATATCTCCATCTCACTCAGACTACACACATCTTTCTCTCTCTAACACGAACACGCACACACTCCTCAGTAACAGACGGCCTCTGACCCTTTTGTCTTCTCCCTGTAGGCGTGTTGTTGTGGATTCCTCTCAGTCCAGGCCGTCATCGCTTGGGAGGCTCTTCCCTGGCTCAGTGCTACAGCCAGCTGGGAGACTGCTCTCCTGACCTGGACCAGCCAGAACTATTGACTGCGTGCTTCAATACCACACAGACACTCATACACGGTCAGCTTGCACTCGCAGGCAAACAGCTAAAGACGAGAAAGTTCATCATTGCGTATTTTGTTTCAGTCCTTTTTAACAAAGTTTTCCTTCTTAACTTTATTTTCATACTCAATTTATTCTCTAACCACTTTGTACTGTGATACACAGCCACCTAGTGGTTTAACTGTGTACTTTTAGTTAGTGAAAAGTCCAAGACCTCTTATCTTACATTTTATTACCTTTTTAGGTAATCATGAATTTAAAATGGCAAAGCAACATTTTTGTTGCTGAAGTTGCATAAGATTAAATTAAAATAGACTGCAGGTAAATTGTCATTGAAAAAATGGTGGAAGATGGTTGGGAAGTTGGCATTCAGAGTTCTTTTCTGTTCTTTCAGATCGTCTGCTGAGTGCAGGACATGACATCAGCGATGGAGGACTCATTTCCTGCTTGCTGGAGATGGCGTTTGCAGGAAACCGTGGAATCGACGTTGAGTTGTCCTCACAAGGAACTGGAGGTTAGTGAGCTGATGCATCTCCTGGCTTGGTTTCCCTGTAATTCACAAATACAGGATGCAAACTGTTGTTGTCATCAAGTCTCATGCAGTGTTGCTGCATCTCTGTCTGCACAGTCATGGAGCTGTTGTTCAGCGAGGAGCTGGGTTTGGTTCTGGAGGTTTCACAGCTCAATGTAGAGACAGTGTGTCGGAGATACAGTGACACGGGCGTGCAGTGCCATCGCGTCGGCAGCACCCGCGGCTTCGGACCAGAGGCTGTGGTGAGACGTCAGCTTCTGCATGTATCTCAAGCATTTTCAGCATCTATGATGGTAGCGGTTTTCCATTTACCCTCACTTTGGTTTCAGGTCAGCGTTCGTGTGGATGAACAGGAAGTACTGAGTGAGCCGCTGCCTAAACTCAGAGCATTATGGGAGGACACCAGTTTCCAGCTGGAGCGCCTCCAGGCCAGTGAGGTCTGTGTTAAAGAGGAAGAGGAAGGGCTATCCAAGAGGACACAGCCCTACTTTAAACTGACCTTTGACCCCTCAGAAATGCCCAGCATCAGCCAGCTCAGTAAGACCAAACAGTATTAGGTGGAGCTGTTATCATTATCAAGTAGTCCTACAATTATTCTTTGATTATTACATTTATTGTTACATTACATTACATTACATTATTAAAATGTTAGAAATAATAACATAAACCCTTCACAATTGGCCAGATAATGTACCAGTTAATAATTTATGTCTGACCAGCATGAAAAAAGAAAGTATTCAGTGACATGAACATTGTCATCTTTGAGTAGTTATAACCACTAACTGTTTAATATTGTTGTTTTAATCTCTCTGATGTCTGTGGCTCTTCCAGCTGCAGAGCAGCCTCGTGTAGCTGTGGTCAGGGAAGAGGGAAGTAACGGAGACCGAGAGATGTCTGTGTCTCTCTATATGGCTGGCTTTGAGGTAACTATTAACTTAAATTGAGAGCTTTATTAACTGGATATATGTTGACCTAAGATGTATAGCCGATGTGCCTGACTCCTATCTGTGTGTGTGTGTGTGTGTGTGTGTGTGTGTGTGTGTGTGTGTGTGTGTGTGTGTGTGTGTGTGTGTGTGTAGGTGTGGGATGTCACCATGCAAGACCTGTGCTCTGGCTCCATAACTCTGGAGTCTTTCAAAACAGTCGTGTTTGTAGGTGGATTCAGCTACGCAGACGTCCTGGGATCAGCTAAAGGCAAATAAACGCATGCACGCGCACACACACACACACACTCTCAGGCTGCTTTGGTATTTTTTACTGTAACACCATTCATCCTTCATAATAGGTTGGGCTGCTACAGTTGCATATAACCCCAAGGCCAAGGCAGAGTTCGACCGCTTCCGGCTGCGGGATGACACACTGAGTCTGGGTGTGTGTAATGGGTGCCAGCTGCTCGCCCTGCTGGGCTGGGTGGGAGAGGGTGAGGATGGAGCAGGTAAGAGATAAAGGCACAGAAAGCCATGGAAACGTTGCCATAAAAGGAAAAACCATCCTGTTGTAGTGAATTGAAATGAATGTAGTCGTCACAGAGGAGAGCTTTTGCAACCATCACTGAGTTTAAAATGCTTTTCCAATTCTTCCCCAGACACTGAAGTGGTGCTGACCCATAATAAGTCTGGCAGGTTTGAGTCTCGCTTCGTCAGCGTTGGGATCAAGGAGTCCCCGTCCGTCTGGCTCAGAGGCATGGAAGGCTCAGCCCTGGGAGTGTGGGTTGCACATGGAGAAGGTAGTAGTCCATCACACACACGTTTGCAAAACCGGAACATGTAGTCCTCTGTTCTCAGTTGTTCCAATAACATTAAGTCCTTCAGGACAGGAATGCAGTATTGAATCTGAGCATAAAGTGTAAAATGTTTAAACTTGCACAACGACGACTGATTCTGCTGACTCATAAGTCACAGGTCAGCATGTTCTGTAATCGGCAGCTGTGTTTAATATTGATTTTCCCGCAACCTCTTTCCTTGGCAGGGCTGATGCAATTCCGTAGCTCCCAGGCCCAGGACCAGATTATTTCTGGTGGGCTCGACCCCCTCCATTACCTTGACGACCAGGGTCAACCCACTGAAGAGTACCCTCTGAACCCTAACGGCTCCCCGCAGGGTATAGCAGGGCTGTGCTCCAAGGACGGGAGACACCTGGCCATGATGCCCCACCCGGAGCGCTGCACCCTGGGCTGGCAGTGGCCCTGGGCTCCGAGGGACTTTAGAGCTTCTCTTACACCTTCCCCCTGGCTACGCATGTTCAAGAATGCAGCTGCCTGGTGCAGCAACATGGAGTGAGAATACTGTTTATGTTTCTGTTGCTGTCAAAGTAGCATTATTGTCTTTGTTGGGTTGTGTGTAAACTGAAACTGTAATGCCTGTTTACATTACTCAACAGGTAATTCACCTTTTTACTTCCCTCGGTACATGGACTTTGCATTATTACTTACTCCTGCTGTAATACTTTATAACTTTGAGACTGTTGTGGATTCTTGTTGACTTTGTATACATTCTATAGGTTTCACTCTGGCAATCACTGTATGTTTTACAAAACTGTTCTGTGCCAATCAGATCTGCTGACATTGTCTGTGTTGCTCTGCTGAAACTTGAAAAATGAAATTTGCTAATAAATAAAATAATAAAACAGAAGATTCAAGTGTAGTGTGTCATATCACATGATAAAGAAATTCCACAAAAGACAATAAATATTCTTTATTTTACACATAAAAACATGAATTCATACAATATGTATTGTAAGTATTTACATAAATGTCAGTATTACAGTACTGACATGACAGATTTTCTTGAGCTTGCTGCAACAAAGCTGCCCAATTAGAGGAGTAAAAATGACAGTGGCCAGTTTTTCTGGGTAAAACCCTAAGAAAATATGGATTATAATTAAAATATAAATGATGAAATTACAATTTAAATTGACATAATTTCCTTCAAATCAACAAACACTGAAGATTTTGCGTATTTAATATGGATTAAAGAGCTTCCAACCAGACACTTTAGGCCTTAGGAATGTAAGGATTTGTGATCACATTTGAACCAGCATACTGCTTGATATTGTATTTTAGATACCACTCTTGCATAGGCTCTGTAAACACTTGACAAACAGGCCTGGAGTCCGCAGTCCGAGGGGCTCAGACGCCGTCTTAACATCTCGACTGTTGCATGCTGTGCAGTTGTCAATATTCTTGCATACACTAATCCAACTAGCTACAGCCAGAAGGAAGAAATCCAATGAAAGTCCATGTCAAACAGCTTGTACTGACACTCTTGTCTACAGTGAACTCCCCATTACTCCTTGTGAGGTTGTAGCATTTGCAGAGTGCCTCCCTCTCTCTGGTGCCATTTGCTGGTTGATGTTGATAACACAGATAAGGAGCAGGATGACCACAACTAGATCATCCAGGACCCCCAGCAGTCCACAGAGGGAGGGGTCTGTTTCTAGAGGATTTTCTGATGAGGAGACAGGCTCCAGAGGAGGGTAGGAGATGGACATGACGGTCCCCACACAGCACAGTGCCACCCTGAAGAAAAACAGCCACACAAGTCCTCCCATGGTGCCCAGGCCTCGGGCCAGTAACTGCAGGAGAAGAGGAGCGTCACACAGGTAGTCTGTTACCTGGATGGGTCAGGGTGCAGAAGAGAAAACAGGTCAGAGATTCATTCTGTTTCAAAGGAAAGGAAATGCTCACGCAAGGTAGGGCAACAAGGTGTGTCAATGTGAAGTGTGTTAACTAGACACCTCCATTGTTGTGTGGTTGTATAGGACAATAAATCCTTGAGGTTGCATAAGTGGTATTCCTGTTACCAAACCTATTATCAGAGGAAACGGTGGAGGTATTCTCATCTTTCTTATGATCTAATCTGATGTGACATTCAAGGCTTTCACACAATCAGACACAGGGAAAGGGTGGAGAATATGGAAAACTACTGTGGAAAGACTTTAATAATAGTGTCTAATAAGACACTACTTTCAGTTAAGGATGTCTGTGATGTTTGATGTTATGACTGAAGGTTAGATAGAATACTGACCCTTCGTGGGGCTCCAGAGTAACGTTTGTTGTAGTCTGTGATTTCCCCGAGAACTTCCTTTGACTGGCGGTCTGTTCGACTCTCGTTAAATAGATTACACAGCACGCTGACCTGGAAAAGCAAAACATTTTCATTCCATGTTCACACTCATTCTGAGCAGACTGTTTAGACTGTGCTTTCATCTGATCATGCATACTGTACCTTCTGTCTGCAGAGAGGGCAGCTGATTGCGTCCAACCAGGACCCGTGTCTCCAGTAGGCGATCAAACAGGGAGCTGCAGAATCAGAACACATATTTCAACACTTTTAAATCAAACATTCAACAGTTTGCACCATAATGCCTCTCTATGCTGCCATCAAATATTTTAATTCCCACTAGACTGTGATGAAACTCTGTCGCAGACATGACAAGCATGCAATGAAGTATTTTTTCACGGTTAATGATAACAGACAGGTGTTTGGGTGGTCAAGGGTTGAAAAGGCTCTGGGTATAAAAGGCCGGAGTAAGACCAGGCAGGTAAGTGGGTCAAGTACAGTGGTTAGAAGTCTACAGTCTGTTAAGGTAAAGGTGACAGCAGGTGTGTGCTACAATAGAAATATCTAATCTGTGACAGATAATATCAAGGTTAAAGAAGCCTCTCGGGTCAACACGTACTGCTCTCCTTACCGTACCGAGGGTCAGTTATAAAGTCTGGTGAAGTTGCCTTTACATGCTATTCCTCTAGGTGCCAGAGCAGCCTTGAGGTATGTTCAGCTGTTCTCCAAGAATGATTGCTTTATCTTAGAAATCAAATACTTTGACCAACCTAAGTCACCTACATTTCTGTCTTTCTTTGTTCAGGTGCATTATTATTATTATTATTCTTATTATCTTTCTTATCTTTATTTATTTGTATTTTAAAACTACTTTATTCTTGTGTGATTTGTATATTTTTGTGTGATTTGTATATTTTATGCACCAATGCACCAATGCACCAAGACAAATTCCTCGTATGTGTAAAAAAACCTGCCTGGCAATAAACCTAATTCTGAATCTGATTATTAGGAATTATTATAAGAAGCACACCTTTGAGTAACTGCAATGTCTACTGAGTTTAAAATGATTAAAAGCTAATCAAAACCTTACAGCTAGGCCAATACTTTGTTGACGATGGTAGCAGCACGATTGGTCTATCTAAAAAGTTTTATCTAACTCACTCCAATATGATGATGAAATACATCAATCATGTCCATCTGTGAATTTTAACTTTTTGAAGGGTCACCTCTGCACATCTGTGAACAACTAATTGACTGTTTGTTTTTTGTTTGACTCACTAAATTTATCTTATATAACCGTACACCTTTGAGAAAAATAACGTAAGTAAAGCTGTCAGGTGAGAGGCAGAGTTGGAAAAACCATGGCAACAGTTAGTTATTGAAAGCCGAACAGGCCTCAAGGCTCGAGACACACGGCTGCAGCGCGCTCATGCTACACTGACCAGCCAATGAATTAATCAATACAGACATAAACACATGATGTAAGAGGTGAGAGAGTGAATGAAAAATGAATTAAAAAGAATAAAACTTGTTTGCTCTGATGTTTTTATAGAGTCAGAAGTCAGTTTGTGTGTTTAGCTGTGTGTGTGTGTGTGTGTGTGTGTGTGTGTGTGTGTGTGTGTGTGTGTGTGCGTGCGTGCGTGCGTCCGTGTGTGTGTGTGTGTGTGTGTGTGTGTGTGTGTGTGTGTGTGTGTGTGTGTGTGTGTGTTGAGTCTCATACCACAGAACAAATGGCCACAGTTGGTCTGGACTGGGAAGCTGGCCGTCTGCAGGCAGACTGGACAGTGCCAGTCTCGGCTTGAGGATGGCCATGGCTGTGTAGATTCCTAAAGAGATGAGAGGTGAAAAACAGAAAGAAGGAAATAGGAAATATAAAACAGAAAGATGAGGAATAAAGTATGAAGCAGAGAAATGGCTGATAAATCTAACAAAATCTTATATTTCTTTAAAAGAATTTGATGACCCCACATAACAGACATTATAATAGATACATGTTCCGAGATTATAGATGTAAACAGTGAGATCATTATCAGTTGTTTGGCAGCAACTCTCTCCACCAGACTGTGACCCTAATAAACCCAATAATAATCGTCACACAGGAGTGCCTTACAGTGATAATACTGTTTACTGCATTTGTGTTTGTCCTGTCATTACTGTTTGTTGAAAACTGGCTCTCTTTTTGAAGAAATGTCATCAATTTAGGACTGAAGAACCTGCAAAACCTCAGCTTCATTATCTGTGTTGACTGTGTGTGTGTGTGTGTGTGTGTGTGTGTGTGTGTGTGTGTGTTTGTGTGTGAAACTTTCACCTTGTGGCAGCTTGTATATGTTGATGCTGACTGCTCGGGTGTGCACGCCAGACATTTGGATGACCCGAGGTGACCGTGACACACTGGACCTTCAGAGGGGAGACGGTCCAGTCTACAAAGTGACACAACATGGCAACCATGATAAACACGCCTTAAATACCACATAGTATCTGCTATGGAGGAGATACTGACACAAAACTAACGATTTGTGAGATAAGGTTGACTGATTGTACTCGGCACTTTTCTATTTGTGGATGACAGATGTTGATGCTCTGACTACAGCCCAGCTAAGTGACATGTTGCATCCACAAGGACTTTAGGAAAGTCATTTAACTAAATGATTTTAAGCTTATTCTGCATTTATTTCTAAGATAAATATTTTAGATGTTAAAAAAGTAAAAAGAATGTAAAATAAAATCATCACATTTATTAAATTAAGTCAGTTGCTGAAATAGATCATTAACACTTAAGAAAAAAGGCTTTGGTGTGAAACATGTTTAGCTTCACGTTTTGTGGAGATTTTTTGATTAAACATGTCATATTACACAAGTGTAGTGGATTACTTTCAGATCTGGTGGAGCGAGCCTGGGTGAGGTCAGATCAAAACACACTCTTCCCCTTGAACCTCAAAAACCTAAATTATCTTTATGAGTACAGTTACAGCGCACAGCCCCACTTGTGTTCTAAGAAGGCAAACACAAACCTATCAATACTACCAAATTTAACAAAATGAGACTCACCTTGACTGAGAGCTGTGGTAGCGGTGCATAGCTGAGCTAGAAACAGCAGCTGACAGGTAGTCACTGTCTCCCAGAAGGAAGTGAAGTGCTGCCTGACAGCATCACTGTTCAAAATAAAGTGGAGCTGCATGTTAATGATCAACTACACCCTCCAATATCAGCTGGTGTCTGAGGCTTCCTGCTTACGGGTAGCAGTAATGCTGTCAGATCAATAAAGCAGTGGTCTGTGCACAGCCGTACTACTCCAAATAACATATGATGAAACATTACAATAGACCTTTAGGGTAAACGTATTCATATAATTACATCTAATAAGCCACCCACCCCAGATTCAGTCTGGTCAGAAGGAAAGTATTTGGGTCACATGACTTTCCACCAGATCAAAGCCAGAAAAAATCCCTCCCACGCTGTGTGTAAGTAGGCTTGATCCAACCTCACCAATCATTTACCCAAAGTTTACTCTGCCGACAGCCCTGCCTCAAATAATTCCACTTTTACCATAAACCCCTTGTTGTGAAATGCATGTGAACGTCACTGACATTAACACCACGAGTTGTGAAGAGGCACCTCAGCTGAAGATAATCAACCCAGCAACAGAAAGGAGGCCACACGTCTTCTCAGGCTGTACCGTTCTTTTAAGATGACTATAAAGCAAAAGTGTTGGCCAAATGCAGCAATAAAGCAAAAACAAACTCTCTCTCTTACAGTATCTGGCAGTGAGTGAAGATGTGGTAATCTTCACATACTTCACCATGGCAGCAATTGCAGAAATATCCTGGCAAATATTTGCATAGGCCCTTCACCTCAGATAGGAGCTGAAGAGAGGGAGTTAGAGGGGTTCAGGTCATTTAAAAATAGCAGCCATCAGTCAGTAAGGGTCAGGGTTTCAGAGTGACAGAGATCAGGAGATTAAACAGAGGCGCTCACCTACTGACAGTTAAACACAGGACAGAGGACGCTACTGCTGGCCACATGGGTAAAGTCCAGTCTCAGATCATACACACACTGATTCTACTATGCTCAATGGTCACCTAGTTGTCTGCCCTAGAGAGTGATGTAAGAATGCCTTGTGTTAAATTCAACCAAATTCAAATGAAATATGTAACAAGGCCACAAGTGCAGGTTATTTTCCATATTGTGGCTCACACAGCAGGTGATACATGTGACATTTGTTATCTTGGATAAGCAGTGAGTATTGGTAACACAATTACACACACCCTCACGTGAGTTACAAATACACATAACGTGAGGAGGTTTATTGTATTCATGAGAAATGATTTACCGTCAGTGAACGGTTGGCAGGCTGCCAGGCTTTTAGTGGCTGTCTGAGAGCAGGCTGACTTTATATTTCTAGTTAATATAACCCATAAAACAGGGATAAAAGGGATTAACATTTCATTGGTATTCAGTTTCCAACTCCAAGAAACCTGTAAAACTGGCTGTGCAGGATCATCTGACGAGGACACGTAGTAAAAAAATCATTTGTGTATTAAACAAAAGCTTACTCTGAGAAAAACAAATTTTCTTAAACTAGTTTATTTGATATTTCTATTAATGTATGTTTGGGGATTTTGTAGTTCTTTTCTATTTTTTTATTTGGGCAAAGCTTAGTAGCTTTTCCACCTGTATTCATATGGTTTTGGTTGTAACTTTTTTTTAAAGAATACACGAACCTGACTGCAATATTTTTTTTTACTATTCTATCTATGTGGCTTCATGTGGACTAGTATGTCGAGTTTTATCCACTGCAGCCACACCCGCAAAGATCTTAAAAGCTAAGATGTTGTAATAAAGTATGTTTATAATAACTTCATCAACCGAATGCCGGATGACAATGTCACAATTGTACTGAGCTGTTTGTACAGTATTGACAGCAGCTTGAGTACTAAACATACCAAAATAGTCTTTATTTCATAAAATAATACTAATATAACTGCGTTCATTTTCTCAACCAGACTTATCCATCAATAATGAGAGAAGGGAGCGAATTTGATCATCAAAAATGTTGTGATTGTGGGGGGCGTATGTAAATCGCAGATCACGCCCACTGATTGGCTGCAGCGCGGTTTAACACCCGTCAATCTCAGCAGAGCTCAACACTGATTGGATGACGCTTGTATCCCCCGCCCCCTCCTCACTTCTCCTCAGCCCCGAGCCTGCAAGCAAGTAAACGTCAAAGAACTAAGGAGCTGCGCCATTCGCGTACGTCTTACGTTGTTTTCATGGCGGAGCGGCAGTCGTGGCCGCTCACTGTACGTATTTATCGTTAGAGATTTACCTCTTGGCAGCAGGTGAGGTCAAATGCAGAGGGAAGGAGCGGAAGAGCTTTGCTGACAGGTGGAAAACATTTTAGTTTTAAGCTAAAAAGGAACAAATGGACGAGTATAAAACGGCACTGACCGACAGCCTCATCATATGGGTGAGTTTGTGGTTTTTCCCCCCCGTGGTGTTGTGTGAATGTGTCGTCGGGAGGAAATTATGAAGCGTTTTCGCTTACCTGTTGTAGTGTTGGGGGTGGGGGTGAAAAACACTCCTTCACCACCAGCGGAGAGAGAAACTGAGAGTCAGCTGGTTCAACAGCAGCATCGTTGTTATTAGCTTTAATTAATTTAATATTTCCTCTGTCCACCGGCTAGCTAGGTGAGGAGCTGGCACTGCAGGCTAATATTATTATTATTATTATTATTATTATTATTATTATTAAGTTAACACTACGAGACAACAGTGTCCTTCAGTGTAGTCCACCCTCGCCAGGTTAACACTGCTAATCCCATTAACCAGGAGATATTTGTGGAATGTCGTTTTAATGTTGTTGACATTATGTAACTGATTAAATGAAGCTAACACGAGCAACAGTTAATACCTTTATTTACCTGAGACACCTGGCTAACGTTAGCTAGCGTTGCTTGCTGCACCTGTTCTTCTTCGTGGGTGTTAATGCAGTGTGTTGACTAACCTTGAGTTAGTAGTAGGCTCTAAATCCTGTGGCTGTATCTAAGCCACATCCATTACTTTGTTGAACAGCAGTATCACTAGGTAAGAGCTTAGATGAAGCTTAGCAGGCCAAAAAACATTTGTGTCCAGTTATGAGAATAACAAGTTACCATTTGAAGTCAGATGTGGTGGAAGGGTTAAAGTAAGTAAGGAAAATGTAAAACTATATAAAAATACTACAGTAAAGGTCCTGCATTTAAAATATTTCTACTACTAAATATTAGCATCAAATTATATACAAACATTACATCAATGGATCATGATCCATATGGCCAGAAGCTGCAGTTTGTTTAATAAAAGTTAAATGTGTGACAGAACAGCATTATAATGAAGAACTGTAGGTGTGTAGAGATGTCCTGGCCTACAAATCTTCCTCCTCAGATTTTCATGTTTGTTTGGTACAGACTACAAACAATTATCCTAATTTTAGTAGTTGTTTTTTTTCCAGTGAGAATTAAATGTGTGAAACAAAAATGATCATTCCCACTATCGTGAATAATATTGCAATCGCCTTATCTGTCAAAATAATTCCCTTTTTATTTTTGTTTTTACCATATCGTGCAGCCCTAATCCTTTTGAGTGAAGCATCACTAATGTTACAGCCAGTGAAGGTGGAGCCATTTTCAGCTACTCTATATACAGCAGGGTAGCTTCATCTATAACAGTATCATTATTACTTTGTTTATTTATATTTTGTATCGGCAAAGTAACTAAAGCTGTCATATAAATATAGTGGAGTGGAAGTGTAAAGTAGTGTACAATGAAAATACCAAAGTAGTAAATCTACTGAGGCACAGTACTTGAGGAGATGTACTTAGTTGACGTCAGACTCATAACTTTAAGTCAGTCCCTCCAAACAGTGGACTTACTTTTAATACCAGCTGCCAGTACCAGTCAATGTTTTTAAAATGGTGGTTGTCTCATTTTGGACCAGTAGCCTTTAGACAGGTTTGATAATGACTATGAACAGCAGGATGTGTACAGGACACAGTTGGGCAGTTCTTGTTCAGAGGAAAAGGATGTTAGTGCAGGAGAGTTCACCTGACACTATGGTTGCTGCTTGAAATATTCATATCCTCACTTAAGTTAAGCAGGGAAACCTTTGTCTGTGTCTGGCTGTTGTGGTGTATTTGCCGCTTCTATCTGCAGTCCTACCTGTCACTCTACTGTCCCTGTCCTCTACTATCTCCTCTCTTTGTGACTTATTCTTTCCCTTATAGCAGGATGCAGGTGCACAGCTCTCTCAGGACATCACACATGCAGGGTTTTAGAGAAACTCTTTAGTGATTGCTAGGTTGGTGCAGCTTCTGAATATCATCACCCCGTAACCATGTTTTATTCCTTTCACTCTCCTTGGATTGCATTATGATGATGCTCTCAGCTGCAGACCTTCAACACTCCTGCACCCTGCAGAGTGGTGGAGGAACTGACCACTGGAGTGGCAATATCACAGGCACTGCATCAAATGTGAGAGAACACACACACACACACACACACACACACACACACACACACATACACACATACACACTTACAGCCACAGGAATACAACATATAGGGTGACCAGATATGCCCCATTAAGCATGATGTCTGCCTACTCTGCATCATTTATTTAAAGTCTGGTTTGGCTCAAATAATTAAATAAATAAAAGCAATTTTTCTACTGTACTGTTACTCTCCAATTACACGTTCAACCCACAGCTGAATGAAAGAACACTCCTGCTTTCTATGGATTATCTAAACATATTTCCAGGTACTGTAGGAAATAACTAGCTTAAGAAAAAGAAGGTTGAGAGACAGTAACGGCAACATTTAATATTATCTAGATGAATTTGACCTTGAATGGCATGTAAAAATTATGTGCAGTTAAACTTGTGCCTCTCTGTGTCTGATTATTGTGTGCAGAGACCCAGCTTGGTTCACTGATGGATGGCTTGGTCGTATCAAAACAGATGTTGAAGATAACTGGAGACTGAAGGTACAGAGCAGTGCTGTCTTCCCCATCCCCCTCTGTCCTCCCTGACTTCACTCTTCATAATTTGCTAACCCCCCCCATTATGCTAAATCCTCTGTTTGCTTCAACCCTGCTGAACTGTCCTTGACACTGACCTCCTGCCTGCCCCAGGGGAGCTGTTCCTGGCTTAACTCGCACTCTGCCCCCATGCTCTGACTTCTCTGGTGAAATGTGTACATGTATGTCATTGTTTCCCTGTTTGGCTTGGACTGTGTTTTTCCTGTTTCTGTTTTTCACAAAGACATTTTGACATGTCACAGTAGCAAAAGCACAGGTAGAAATGATAAAATGAATGATGGCTGAAATCCATTTAGGGGACTTCAGTTTAAGCATTACTGGGACACTTGGTAGAAAAGAGCTATCTTTGTTATTATTATTATTATTAAAGAGCTATGTTATTAACTTTTTCTACTATGACCAGTCAAAATGGCTGCTGTGAAAAAGGCTTATTGTCATTTGTGTACATTTGAAGTCTTCATTTAGTCATTGCATGAACATATATCATGGTGTCTGCAGGGTCTTAAAAAGTGTAAATTCCAATAATCTGAAATTATTCAGATCCAATTGATTGGATTAAGGAAGTTATCGTTACTTGCATAAAGTTGCATTTTTCAGTCTCACTTTTAAATATGTTTTGGGGAAAAACTTGTATTGATCATGCTGTAATGACTACAAAACAAAACCAATAAGGAGCCAATACCAATTTTCCTTCGTATCCTTTGTCCTTTTTTGCCAGTATGGACATAGAATAGGTCTTAGATTAAAAAGTCTGAAATTGAACCTGATGAAACTGCAGAAACCCTGATTATGTTTGAAGGGAATCTCAGTTTAAAATGGGAACCAAGAGAACTAACAACCGAGTTCATAACATTTCATAATCTTGTGTGTTTTCAGATGAACAACCTGAAGAAGATCCTTCAGATGGTGGTTGATTATTATAATGAGGTAGGTTGTGGCCATGTTCTCTATATTCTCCTTTTGTTTGCACAGTTGTCAGGTGACTGGAAAACGCACTGTGTTCATTCGATTCTTGTGGGAGTCGTAGTGTGCACTGTTTACGTTGCGCAGAGTCCCAGGAGCCTAGTGTGCAGTTGAGATCAAAACAAGCATCAAGCAGCTGAAGCCTGGTACATAATAAAGTACTGAAGCACAACAATGTTTTATATCTATTTTGCTAAATCAACACATGCTTGAAATATTTTATTACTGTTACTGTTATCTCTGTACCATCAGGTCTTAGGCCAAGAAATCTCAGACTTCCCCTTGCCAGATCTGGCTCGGGCGGCAGAGCATTCAGACCCAGTGGAACTGGGGCGGCTGGTGCAACTCATACTGGGCTGTGCTGTCAGATGTGAGCGGAAACAAGGTATGTGGCTGCTTCTGTGTTAGACGCATGTTCCCATATTAGACACAAACATATACTCAGATATCTACAGTAAACATGTCCAGTACTCTGTGTAGATAGAAAGGGAATTATTCCATTAAAATCCAGTTAGGTGAAGCCGAACAATGTTTAATTATTGCCCAGCCAACCCACTGACAAAGGCAGAGACCATCAGGCAGCCTGGCTGGGAAATCAGTGACGCCAGTGTTACATTTAAAAGTGGGACACAAATGCTGAAAAATAATAAACAATTCAGTCAGTGTTTGTCGTTGATAAATCTCTCTCATTCTATCGCCAGAATACATTCAGATCATCATGACCTTGGAGGAGTCTGTGCAGCATGTTGTCATGACAGCCATCCAGGAGGTCAGTCCATCCTAATGCCAAGTGTCTCTCTTGCACAGATTAGAGATATTAACAATATCCAGGAAAGCTTGTTGTAAAGCAGCAGCAGTAGTTGTTGAGGGAGGGCAGAGGGTATGCTTGTGTTCAGGGAAAAATTGGATGGGGCTTTGCAGCTATTCTAATGAGTCTATGTAATCCATAAATCACATTTTTCCTCCTCAGCTCATGAGTAAAGAGATCATGGCCCCGTTTGGAGCTGAACTGTCAGGGGACTTGGAACAGCAGGTCAGTGTTATTACTACAGAGACTCCCAACTGAGGGAGGCTCTTTTGGTAGAAAGCTGGTACTTGCTGCTGTAAAACTCTCTTAACTATTTTCATTGGAAGATAAAGTCTTTATGCCCAATTTGTTAGACAAAAAAATATGATTACAATGTAATGATTAATGTGTAAGTAATTTGGTCAATAAGTCATCAGATTTAAAATCATTTATATTTTGTCTAAAAAGCGAAACAACAATCAATTGAACAGTTTAACTTTCCGTCAGTTAGTTGGTTTATTAACTATGGTTTCAGCTTAAGTGTATAAATTGCATAAAATTATCAGTGTAACACACGGTCCAAGTTAAAGTTAACATTACTATTTCAAAGGAGTCGCACTCACCTCACACAGCTCGTCACTGGGACATTTATTCTTCCGGATCTGTTTGAAGAAGAGCATGACCATTGACTGTATAGAGATTTCCAGAGCTCTCAAATATTAACTCTCACTGCACAGTGCAGCACTCTGTGCATCTGCTGCATTAACAGGCAGGAGGAGAGCGGGATAAGTTCTGTGTAACAGCCTTAACATTGGGTAAAAAGTTAATGTCCATCCATGAAGAGGAGGTGATAATTTAAAGAATTGTCCTTCTGACCCGAGTGTTGCAGTAGAACCAGTCCATCTGAATGTATGTGTTAGTTAATTCTGCTTTTTCTTCATGTGTCCAGCTGAAAAAAGCCCTAGAGGACCTCACTGAACTTCTTTCAGAGAAGGAAGCGTTAGCCCAACGCTGTCAAGAGCTGGACATGCAGGTGAATACAGAGCTCATGAAGACACCCTGGAGTATTTCTACAGGAAAACATACATTAATATGATTAATTTACAGCGGTCTAATCTCAGTCTCAACTGATATTCTCCATGTCCACACACACACACACACACACACACACACACACACACACATACACGCCTGTGGCACAGTATAAACAGGAGTTGTGTAATTCGCTGTAATGCTTGGGTCTATTGTCTGGAGCTGCTGTGGCAGAAAGACTGTGGGCTCACAGTCTGGGCTCTGCTGGTTCCACTGTGGCAACCAGCCCATGCTCTGCCACTGATAGAAGGCCTCACTCACTGTGCAGGCAGACTGTTTAGCACAGGCACTGATACACTGTTCAACTGGACTCTCGACAGATTTGATTTGTTCTGTCTCCAGTCTTGCTCATCTCTCGCCGCAGTGAGGTAAGTCCAACATGGCTGACCATTTTGCAGAACTAAACCCATCTACACCAGCTGCTCAAATGTTTACTCTAACTCCGCTAACAGATGGCTCAATCAGGATTCAGATTGAGACAAGTCATGCATTGTGTGGTTTTATTCCAGTAATTCACCCAGGAACATCTGTCTGTCATAACACCCTCCTTTTTTAACCGCCAGATGGTTTGTCCCACAAAACCATGGTAAAGGACAGACACGTTAAAAAAATACTTGGCAGGTTATTGGATGAACCATCTGTCCATCACAGGCAAACTTTTACCAGTCAGATCTATGAACTATATAACATTGTCAAACTCTTACTGAACCCAGCGAAATCCTCTTTTCCATCGAGGAAAGTCTTCAGTGACATTCTTTGCTCCTCTTTTAATGAAGAAACACATTCCAGTTCTGATTAAACTGATGCTAGCAGCATCTACTCTAATCTGTTTTTTATTGTTGTTTAACAAACCATGCCTTCTTGCTGTGTCATACCTAGCACCCACTCCTGTAACTGCCAATACTTCTACTAAAATATTATTTCTTTTATCATATTGATTTCAACCATGTAGCCCAGGCCTAAACATGTAGTTGCTGATGTTAGACACTGATCCTACAGGTTGTTTCTATCTATTTGTATGCAGGACTTTTAGACAATGACAAGTTAATGTTGGACTAGTAGTCCAGTGTCTGGTGATAAAAAGTACACAAGGGAAATGATGGGCGAGAAGTAAAACTAACTAACCGTGTATTAACATGTTTGCTTAAAGTGCACTTTGTCTGTGCTCTGCTTCCAGCATGGATTAACTGCACTGTTTGCTTTAACAGCTGGGAGACCAAGAGCATTCTCTATAATAGAATGGGGTGTGTCTTTTGAAGCTCAGATGTGTCTTTGCTGCTTTGCATGAAATATAATTGACCAAAGAGAGATTTAACATCACATATTCTTCCTACTGACTTGACACAAATGTTTGGTTTTTTTTTTTCTATATTTAAGTTACTGTAACTTTGAAATTGTATCATTTGCAAGAGTGGGTCTAAACCTTATTGTACCTGGACCAGGTGGCTGTTCTTCAGGAGGAACGGAACAGTTTGTTGGCAGAGAACGACGTCCTAACAGACCGAGCCAATCAGCTGGATACATTCGATGACCCAAGCACACCCTCAGGGAGAAAACACAGCCAGTTGCAGCAGCAGTTAGAGGCACTGCAGGAGGAGAACTTCAGGTGTGTCTCCTGCTTAAATGCAGTGCAGTAACCTCTCCATAGTTGTAAAGGTCCGAACCATGATGCATATTTGCATTTTTTAGGCTGGAGGCTGCTAAGGATGACTACCGGATCCACTGTGAAGAGCTGGAGAAGCAGCTGATTGAAGTTCAGCACCGTAATGACGAGCTCACCAGCCTGGCAGAAGAGTCTCGAGCTCTTAAAGATGAACTGGACGTTCTGAGGTTTGTGTCCATCTGGGTTAGTGCACTGTAACAGGTTGATGGGGGCTTTTATTTAGAGTGCAGACTACAAAAATAAGCAAAGTAATATACTGTGAAAAATGCTGGACAGAATTTTCTACGACTTTCTTTCTTCAAAGAGTAGCATGCAGAATGACATCTTGTTGTTTCCTGATGAGGTGGGAATGGTGGAAAGGGAAGAACTCATGATTAACCAGTCCCTCCGCAGATTGTTGTGGGCCAAAATCCTTGATTATGCGGCACGTTTTCTTAAAAAACGCGATGGAACATACCGCAATTTATGAAATTTTATGTGATAAAATTGCGGCTTCATCGCAGAGTTTGCAGCTTTTCGATGACGTCCTTCATAACGTTTCCATGGCAACAGGGGAAAATGGCTGCTCTTGTGTTAAGTAAACGCAACATTTTTCAACTTTCTGCTAAGATATATGTGACTTTTTTGCAACGAAAATGCCGGGATTATGAAATCATGCGAGCCCCGCATATTTTGCGCGGAAATCAGCAGTTTATGCGGCGAAAGTGCGGCGTATTTGGAAAAAATGCGGACTTTGGCTGATTATGCATTGAATTATGCGATCGCATTATCGCGTTTTTCTGGAGGGACTGATTAACTCCTCTTGTCTGGTTGAGGGTGTGTTAATCAGTAAAATTAGATAAAGTTTTATTTGGCTGGAACAAAAATCTGCATACAAATGGCTCTCAACTGGCTTTGGTTGACTTCTTGCATGAGCACAAACAAGAAGAAGCAGGAAAACAACATTAACACACAATGTAATAGTCCACCATAAGGTAAAATAATCTAAACTATAAATTATTCACAATTCATATGGGGAAAAAGCCTAAAATCTTCACCTAGTAGAGAGCAGGGATTAGTGCCTAAAGGTAGAAAATTCTTCTTCCTGACGCAGATTAGTGTCACAGTTATTCACTGATATTTCTGTATTTATTTTGTATTAATGCACTGTAGGAACTGCTCAGATCGTGTGGTGATGCTGGAGGCCTCAGTGGAAACATACAAACGGAAACTGGAGAATCTAGGTGATCTGAAGAGGCAGATGAAGCTGCTGGAGGAGAATAACATGACGTACATGCAGAACACTGTTAGCTTGGAGGAGGAACTCCGCAAGGCAAACGCTGCCCGTGCACAGCTCGAGTCATACAAGAGACAGGTGAGCGATATGCACAGCATGGTTTGAAGGGAAACGCCACTCCAAAATAAAACTTATTTATTGTTACACTTATTGTTATAAATCTCATACGGTACAGATTTGATTTCTTTAACTTGGACAGCAGAAAGACAGATTGTAGTGATTACGTTTAATACCATTTATTAGGTAAAAGAATGTATTTAGTGCCACATATTGTTTTATTTGTTAACCTTTGTGCTCACGTGCTGTTTGTCAGGTCCAGGAGCTGCACAGGAAGTTGTCTGAGGAGACGAGGCGAGCAGACAACCTGGCTTTTGAGATGAAGAAGTTAGAAGAAAAGCACGAGACTGTGATGAAGGAGAAAGAGGTGTGGCAGCTTTATGAAACGTGTCAGAAGGATTTTTTACTCTAGCTGTGGTAAACATCCTTCACTAACATCTGGACTGTTTCTCCCCTTCCACTAGAGGATCATCATCGAGAGAGAGTCTCTAAAGGAGATCAACGAGGAGCTGCGATGCACTCAGGCTCAGCAGCTCCAGCAGCTCCAGCTCTCCCAAGCAGGTACCTCACAGGATAGTCATATCTGACAGTAAAGACACTACTTTACCATTTGTCACCTTATTATTCTAAAGTGCACTTATACTTTTTATAGGGATGCTTCCTTCTGGCAGCCCCAGCCATGATAACCTGGCAGCTGAATTAATACCCATTGAATACAGGTAATGGACCAGGCATGTCCAAACTATTCTACAGTTTGTTCCAACTAATCAAGAGCAAACCTGATCAGTCGTTTGAAGACTGAGATCAGCTGAATAAATGAGTGGAGCTTAGTGTGCTCCTGCTTGGTCGGGGTGAAAACCTGCAGCCACATTTATGCCTGCAATAGATGCAGTTTCTGGCAATGTAGAATTTGTTTACCTCCTGCTCCAGTGTAATGTGTGAACCCTGCCTTTTGTATGTGTGATTGTTCAGAGAAAAGTTCATCAGGCTGCAGCATGAGAACAAGATGCTGAGAGTGCAGCAGGAGGAGTGTGAGAGGGAGAAGATAGCTGCACTTCAGGTCCAGCTGGAGGAAGCACATAAGACTCGCAGTGAATTGGACACTGAGAACAGGTTAGCAGAGTTAATTTCTCTTTGTAAGTCAGCAACAGATTGATGTGACAGTCATAGGCTGCTCTGCTGTTGATTAATTTTTGCTCTGTTATTTTTTAAATTGTGTTCAATTATTTTTAAAATTGCATTATTTTAATATTTCCGTCTTCTTCTCCATGATCAATCTGCAGACTGAGTCGAGAGCGCATCGGTGAGCTGCAGCAGCAGGTCGAGGACCTCCAGAAGGCTCTGCAGAGTCAGGCAGCCAAACCTGATGATGTAAGTGTGCCAGGAGCACTGGCGCCAATACAGAGGAAATGTCCCACACAGATAATCTCATTGCTGTTTGGACTTTGTGCTGGCGCACATTAGTTGACGTTTTCAGTCAAAATGTTAAACTGATTCAGAGCAAATCGTTTATTTTGTAAATGTAATCATTGTACTGTATTTGTAGAAGCTTTAAAGTTGTTTGTTTTTTCAGTCAAACCTGAAGAGAAAACTTGATGCGCACATGTAAGTGTAAATTATGGGTCAGTTTTTGGATAAAAGTTGAGAGATGTAAAATTAATGTCTGGTAAAGAAACAGCATTTATTTCTCAGGGTCCAACTGAACGAGGCTCAGGATGAAATCATGAAGAAGAAAGAGCTGCTGGAGGACCTTCAGCCCGATAACACTCAAAATTGTAAGTCTCACGTCTCCACTCAGTCTGAGTTTGCCAATATGACACCAGCAACCTCAGGAGTGGAAAATGTAACATAATATAATAACATAATAAAATGTCACGCTGTATCAGTTCACCACAGCGCCGTATGACTAAAGTGGAACCTCATCATTTCTTCCTTGCCTCTAAGCCCTGAAGCTGGATGAGTTGATGGCTGCTCTGAAGAAGAAGGATGATGACATGAGGGCCATGGAAGAGAGGTACAAAATGTACCTGGAGAAAGCTCGCAATGTGAGTGATAAGAGTGTCATTTCTCTTATTTTTTATACAAAGTCTAGTTTTTAAAACACAAGGTTGAGTCCAGCAGTTTGAGCTCACTTGTATTCAGAACCGTCTTTCTTTTCCTGCTTGTAGGTGATCCGAGCGCTGGATCCTAAGCTAAATCCAGCCACCGCTGAGATCCAGGCTCTGAAGAACCAGCTAGCAGATCGGGACAAGCAGATTGTAACTCTGGAGGTAGATCTGCTTTTTGAGTCATTCACAGCATTTAAGCATTTGTGATATGAAGATACAGTATTTTTTTTAAACTAAGCTCATATTTGGTTGATTTGCCTCTGTAGCGTCAATGTGAGCAGGCCAGACTGAGAGAGTACGAGGAGAAGCTGATCGTCACAGCGTGGTACAACAAGGTAAAATGAAATCACAGCAAATTATGATATTCACTGCGCCTTTTATGACATTATTGACGCTTTAAGTATACTGCAAATTTGTTTCTCTTCATCCTCAGAGTCTAAACTTTCAGAAGTTGGCAATTGAATCACGTCTCGGTGGCTGCACCTCCTCCATGGTGTCCCCCGCCCAGTCCTTCTTGTCCCAGCAGCGGCAAGTCTCAAACGCCCCACGCCGGGCACTTTCCATCAGCGTGCCTGCCACTACCTCCAAGTAGACCTTGACATAGAGCCAAATGTTTCAGCTTTATTCAGTTAAGGGAAAAATACCCTCCCTCACTCCCTCCCACCATTGAGCACTTAAGTGACCTTAAACACATCTGCTCTCAGCGCTTGGGGAGGGGTCACTGATTAGCTGACTGGGATCGATGAGCACTTACTTATTAAACACAACCATGTAGGCCACACTCCTGATGTTATAGCATACTGTCCCATGTTAACACTGGCTACAGGCTGACCTTCACATAGATCATGAACCCACAACCTGTGTTCACCTCACTAGTTAAAGTAGTGCACAGTCCCAACCATAGACGTGGAGCATATTTCCCATCTGCCCTCTTTGCTTTGCAGATTCAGCTGAATTCTTGTAATATAACCAATTTATCCTTCACTCTCTTATGTCCTGTCATGCTGTGTACGTGATCAGGAACAAGAGGAACATTAATGAATGCTTATCTATTTTATTCAGAATCGGAGCCCATTATATATATGATTGTGACTTTAAAATGGGTTACTTGAATGCTAAAGCCAACTAAATGTAACTTCAGATGGTTGTTAATGTGGAAAACTGTACCATCATACTATGCAGTTAAGGAGGTATTAATGTCATCCAGCGGACTGATGAAAAGACAAGCTTGCTTTAAATGTCTTTGAGAAAATGATTGCTATATTTGGTGCTGGCCACCAACTGCTTTTAAGCATCAAACATCAGACACAATTACACTACTCACAAAAAGTTAGGGATATTCCACTTTCGGGTGAAATTTATGGAAAATTTTAAAAAAGTTGATGCTACACTGATATTATATCATGAAAGTAGGGCACTTAAGTAGAAGGTCAAATTAAGATCACCTGGAGAGGTTATAGTGCATTTTATGTACATTCTGAAATTTCATCCGAAAGCCGAATATCCCTAACTTTTTGTGAGTAGTGTGTATTTTTTTTTTTTTTTTACTGAAATGGAACAAGCCCATCATGTAAAGCTGTGAATATCCTATAAATCATATTAATTAAAATCAACCTGATGTGCTGCAACAACAAATCCTACACAAGATATCCAGGATTAGTGTATGTTTCGTGTATTTTCTATATATCTAAAGTGTGATTCGACTTCCTTACTGGCAGGATGCTCAAAATTAAAACTGGCAGGCCTTTCTATTCACCGAATATCTTAAATCTTATTTAGTAGTGTGTAATCAAGTCTATAATCTATGAAGTTGTACAGCTCTAGTGTAAACATGATTTTAACACCAGCTTCTGATCCAAATGTCAGAACCAGGTTAAGCTTTCATACAGTATCTGCAAATTGTAACTTGAGAATTTGAATTACTGTAGTTGATATTGTATTTAATCATGGACATGTTTTGCGGCTGTTTTAGTGTCGGTGGAAACTCAGTGAGGAGCGCTGTGGAGAAGCTGCTGTTTTCTTTGATATTGTGGGTTATTTTTCTGTTCAGCCTTTATGGAGTATTAAGTTAAACTGCACTAGTTTCACAACATGAAATGGCTGTTGATTGCCTTGTCACTCTCTATGTCTGCAATAACACTAAAGAGGCATTTTGTTATGATGGTTTCACCATCTGTGATGGATAGATGTAAGTCAAAGCGATTTTATTTTCCATTTGCAGTGGATGATTTGTAGATTGCTGATTCAAAAGTTGTGTCATTTATATGAAGATAAGATGTATGATGAACGTAGCACAGCACATAAACTACATGTGTAAGGTTTTGTTTGTAAATGAAGAAAAGTGGGCAAGGCATAATGAATTTTCAGGAATTTAGGTACATTTAAATCTTTGGTTTTCTTGTGAATAAATAAATTCTTTTTCTAAAAGTGTGTTTTACATTGAGTAGCATCAATCTTATCAAAAACCAAAGCTTAAAATCATTGTATTTAATTTTAAACACTGTTCACAAATCATTTGACACATAGGTGTTTATTTCATGTCATCAGTGCCTTCACATATGGCAATAAAGCAGATATTTTACAAATCAACCACATTTGGATAGATCCAACCATGCACAACTGTAAGTAACATACAAGAGACAAAAAGGAGAATGAAATCTGCCATTTCTGTAATTCTTTTAGTGGGCAATAGTCCAACTGAAATCACAGATATCATGGTTACTGGTGTTTGAAAAATGATAATTCAACACAGTCACATGTTATGAGATTATAAAACAAAGCATGCTATAGTTCATTTATAGCTCCAATATTTCACACACATGTTGTAAACAGGACATATTGTTGCATGCTGTCTCTACTGGACTGCTAAAAAGCTTAAATGGTATGAAAGGAAAACTAGCCACAGTCTGTAGCATAGTCTATGTGTTTTCTCTGTATACGTTAAGATGTATAATAGTTTTTTGACTTCTTGTAGCATATTCTATAGTCGGGGATAGGTTGCAGGGTTCAGTGGGCTTTGGCATAGATCTTAAAGGGGTAGGGTGTGCGTGTGGCTCCAGTGATTCCCTCTGTACTCAGCTCAACTCCATGCAGAGTGGAAAAATAAAATTTCTGAAACAAACTGACAAAAAACAGGAACAGCTCCATTCTCGCCAGGCCTTCACCCAGACATGCACGCTTTCCTGGAAAAACAAGAATAAATGCATTAAAAGAATAAAGCCAAGTGCATTGAAAATATTTTCTTGTACACTGATTATTTAGCTATAGGGCACACACTCTACTGCATCCTAAGGGCTTTTAGAGAGTCGATTCTCTCAGTAGTTAAATGTTTAAAGTTACCTGCAGAGAAAGGTAAAAATGCGTCCCTCCTCACAAACTTTCCTTCAGCATCCAAGAAGTGTTGAGGGTTAAAGGTGTCAGGAGTTTCCCATTCGTTCTTGTCAAACAGCACAGAGGTGAGGTTGGGCATCACAGAGGTTCCCTAGGATAAGAAGAGGTAAAGGAATAGTACAGCCATACATGGATAATGTCAACAAGTGAGTACTGACACAGTGAAGGGTTGTGTTTTTTATGTGGCTAAATTATTATTATTGTTTTACCATTTACAGGAAAAAGAAACAATAACCTCCAGTGTCAAGGATTTCATGTTAACCCCAAAAGGCTTTCAGAATGTATAAAAGGTTTTATTAAGGCTTCAGTGGAGTATCTTATTTTCTCTAGCTCCAGTGCGATCCAATCTTTGAATTTAGAGGGCGAGAAATGCTTCCATTTCATAACCATGAAGCGCCTAACCAACAGGGTCGTGGAGGCCAGGACTGATTATCGCCATAGGGAACGCCAGAAATCACTGTACATGGTTTTGGAGTAATTGTTATGTCAAGCGTAACAGTGTTTTAAATGTACTTCAGTGGAAGTTGCCAGTTAAATCTTCAGCCACCAGCAATGACACTAAACTCTGCACACACTGAAGTGTAATAATATAATAATATTAAGCAACATGAGAATAGGGAATACATCAAAAAACAAAACAGGCTGGCTTTCCCCACATTATCATATTTCAGACAGAAGGTACATATCGGTTTTCTAATGGACACAACTGTCAGTTTTCACTCCCTAGTTGCTCTGTGCTAGAAGTGGATGCACCTTGGGTATGAAGTAACCGCCCAGTGTTGTGTCCTTGGCAGCCATTCTGAGTCCATTGAGAGGAACGATGTTTCCCATCCTCTGGATCTCATGGATGACAGCGTCAGTGTAGGGCAGGTTGGGTCTGTCTGCCATAGTGGGCTGTCGGGTCTGTCCAATCACTCGGTCTATCTCTGCATGGACTTTGTCTAGGAATCGAAATAAAAGGTTTTTAATTGATTCATTAAAGTGAATAAACCTTTTCACAGCAGCCATTTTGACACACAATTGTAGGGTAAACACAGGTGTACTAATTAAAGCTCCGTTCCATTAAGTGTAGCAGAACCTTTCCACTTCTCTGGTAATAAATCAGTATCTATAGCTTATTTCCTGTGCTGCTGCTGTGGGAGTATGTGAACACCCACCCTGGATATGAGGGTCCTTGATGAGGTAGATGAGGCCCCACTGCAGGGTCTTCGAAGTGGTTTCACTACCAGCCAGGAACAAATCCAGACAACACAAAACCAGGTTGCCGTCGTCAAAACCCAGCTGACTGTTTCTGTTGTGCTGTAGGGCAGAGCGGAGGGACAAACATACAGCCAGTTCACAAAAGGGTTTGTTTTTGGTTCTCATACAGTATGCACCGATCGGCTTATTGTGATCACCATACTTTCTCCTCTATCAGGAAGGTGTCGATGTAATCTCTTGGGTTGCTGGGGTCCAGATCCAACTTGTGCCTCTCTACCTCTCCCCTGATCGATGCCTCCAAAGATTTGGAGTTGCTGAAGATGCCATTGTGAGGCCCCGGCAGGCGTTTCATCAGTGCTGGGAAGGCATCATATAGCTGTTTGGAGAGGAAATGGGACAATTCAGATCCTACTTTAGTTCACAGTATTTTCTGATAGAGAACAAATCTGAAAATCTTTTCCCCTAACTCAGCGTGTACAAAGAAAGTTATCACGCTGGTTCTGCTCCACGTTATGTTTGTTGTTTCTGAGCTGCTTTGCATCTTACTAGAGCCCATATGGAGCCTTCCAGATAGGCCATCTCAGTCAGATTCTTCAGCATGCTCTGGAAGTTGTGGTCACTGTAGTCAAACCGTCTCCCAAACACTATCTGGCAGATGATGTTGGCCACAGCGTTGTTTAAGAGGGGCACAGGGTCAAACGGCTCTCCTGGACAGAAGGAACATCTTCAGTCACAGTACACTGTGTGTATTTTTGCTTTTCAACCTGTTACATTTTGTTCTCTTTTCTGTTTTGTTGTTTTTGCCAACCTTTCTCCTTCTCCATTGCCTCCTGCAGATGATGGCTCTCTTCACAGATGCTCTGCTCCATGGAGCTCTTGGCCAGACCAAAAGTACGTAACATGGCCATGGCAAAGCGCCGCTGTCTCCTCCACACGTTCCCATTACTGAAGAAAAGCCCCGCTGAGACAGAGAGAAGCCACACTGCATTACTAACGCGGGGATCAGGAGGCAGGTGGACTATTTTATTACTGTATGTTTGTGTGATTCACCTGAGTTCCCTAAATAAATCCTGGTCACCATGGGGCTGTAAGGCCGGTCCACAAAGTTGTCAGCCTGTGTCACTAAGGCTTCCTTCACCATCTTCCACCCAGACACAAACACTGTTTTGTGTCTTCCCAGACGTATGCAGAACACATTCCCATAGATATCAGCTAACTGTGGATGCAGGAGCAGAGAATAAGCGGCCTGTTGTCTGGCATGTGACTCTGATGAGACACATATTTCAGGACAATAATTTCAGTGACACTGTGACTTACTATAAGCAAGTTTTCTTAGTTTTAACAAACATGTTAATATTGATTTTTTTTTAATGTTTCCTTGTTTGAGGACCTGTCTGCTGTATACAAAAGTAGTAGTTATTGGTGAATAGCTCAACTTTTCATTGGAATTTTCAGAATCACAAAAACACCACTGCATAATATGGAAATATGATTCTGTCGTCTTACCTTGGTTAGGTAAATGTGAGGCTGTTTAGATTCAATGCTGAAAACATTTCCTAAAAGAGGGAGAGCCGGTGGTCCTGGTGGAAAGTTAGGTGGATCCTTTTTGTTCCGAAAATACACTCCGAGGGGAACGGCAAAAGTAAAAAGCCAAAGCAATACCCTCAGATCAAGCCACAGAAACAGTTCACACAGCCACATTGTGAAAGCCGAGGAGGAGAGCAAGCGACTGATGAGGATCACTTGCTCCATCAGCCATTTCTAGTTAGAGATGGGATGGTACTTTGCTGACTCACAGCTTATATAGATACAATGATCCATCTGTGAGAGTGGGGATGGAGTAAAAAATAAGCTAAAACAAACTGACCCATACTTTCCCACCGTGACAAAATGGACATTATAAGGAGCATTAAACAAAAACATTTCCGCCGTAAACAAGAAGCTCTTTACGAGGCTAAGCTGTTCTCAGTGATGTCAGTCATTTGTCAGTCTAATTGTTCATAATGTAGTTTACGTCTAACCCATCACCAGTCTGCACATTTCTGTCCACCTCTTTTTACTTCTCACCTTTTATGCAGCAAGTTGATCACAGAAAATATACAGTTTTATCCAAAAAAGTGTGATGACTGGCATTATTAACAGTCCTTTCATCGCAAACCTTTTGGAATTGGGGGTATGATATTGATCTGGGGTTTTCTGGTAATAGACATTTTTCATGGCAGACATTTTGAACTGTTATAGCAAAAAAGATGGCTCAGTTTCATCAGGTGTCCCAGTAAACCATGTGAGACAGCACAATGCGCTATACCAGGTTCACCTAAATGGAATTCTGCCATTTTTAAAGTTATCCACGCCTGTGTTTCCTGCTACAGCAAGTTGCTGCTGTCAAAAAGGTATTTGACATTTTGTTGCTGTGGAGGTGGGTGTGGTTTACAGTCAGCTGCAGGAGAGAGAGGTGTGGGGAAGGCTTGTGAGAGCAGCACCAGGTGAGTGGATTGTCTCAGCTGGTACTCATTGAGTAGTCAAACTCACCGCTCTTAATACAGTAGTGTGCTGGACCTGGAAGGCCCAACACACACAACAGGAAGGACAACTGGAAAAAACCTTCATGGACTTTTGAAGCAGGTTAAGTGTTGTGTGAAGAGTGTGTGTGGCGGAGAAATAAGTAAAGTGGTCTGGACTATTAACCTGCGTTGTGGGTTTGTGTGCTGAGAGAACCCTCGGTAGTGGCGAGAGTTGCTACAGTTGCATTAGAAAGGAGAACTGTAAAACAGTTATTGACAACAGCACAGTGCTACTGGTTCCACAGATTCTAAACATCAACGCCTGCTTACAGGTCATGGGGAGTATTACTGATTATATGAAAAAGATGTCTAAAGCCTTTTGTGGCTCCAAATAATGTCACTTGATGTATGCACCAGGTTTTGACAAGGAAGAAAACAAGACAATATCTCTGGATCTGCTACATTAATTTCGATACTTTCCATCATGAGTCCGACAATGTTATAAGAGTGAAAGTGGAGTCCTCCTTTAACATTTCATATTTTACCAGAATTGCTAACAAAGTTAAGAAATGGTTCATTCACCCCTAACCCTAACTCTTTCATCTGCTTTTATCATGTGTGAAATGTTTATCATAACATCTTCCACAAATTATTATTAAGGCATAAAATTAAGTTTATTTGTGTGGAATATAGCAGGCATTGTTGTCTACTGTAATAACTAATGTGACCACTAGATGGCACCAAAATAAGACATTTCTTCTACATGTGGTGGCTTTGAAGTGTTTGTGTAATAGGCTAATTTTGACAGTTGAACAAATGGTATAATAAAATGAATAACTATTAATACACAACTGATTTGTTACTAACAGTAGCCTTTAAATAAGTTACCAGCCATGAATGTTTGTTATGTTGTGTTTTTACCAGTGACTTAAACCAGGTTTGTGACACAAATCAATAATGTATTAGTCATTAACAAATGTGTTTCAATGTTTTATTATTCATTTTAGTTATTATTATTAACTAATAACCTATTACTGTAAAGAAAACTTAACTAATCTATATACATGTTGTGATTAAAAACTACAATGACATTGAGAAATGTTTTATAAACAGTGGCATTAATACAATATTTTTTTAAAATAACTATCAACAGTGTTGGGAAGTTGTGAAGTACATGTAATTCAACTAGTAGTTTAACTTCATTTTGCAGTCACTTTCTGGTAGTTAAACTGCATTCATATTTGCATAATGATTAAGTAAATTACTTTTTTTTTTGGCCATTTTTTTAGTATTTTAGTTAACTACTGTAACAAGAAAGAAATTACGGTCATAAAAGTAAAATTAATTATATCTGTAATTGAACCCCTTTTGCATATACAAAAGGGCGGGTGTTGCTCAGTGCTCACAGCGTCATCATGGTTAAACCTCCCAAAACTCGGAGGAAGAATCATCCCGGGCATACTAAATACATGACTTGCGAGCTATACTTGCCCTTTCCCATGAATAGTGGGGTATTTTATTGTTTTGGGTTTTGGGTGTGAACAAGTGGGCACTTTCAATTGCAGTCAATTTGATAATGTTTTTACAAAGTAGTTTGAACTACTTTATCTAAGTAGCTTTAACCAAACTAGACTTATCCCTAGGGTAGTTTAATTGTAATTGATAGCTTGTAAAGCTGTGCTTCCCCCAACACTGTTTATCACCCAGAAATAAATACAGGAAAGAATAAACAGGTTCTCAGCACATGAGGCAATCATACAACAGTGAAAGGTTAAGTCACTACAGATTTCTCTCCTTAGGTGTTTTTCTGAGTCTTGTCAGTTGCATAATTCAGCGAGCCTTGGCGTGAACCTTGAAGGGGTGCGGTACACGTGTAGCGCCAGTAATTCCCTCTGTACTCAGCTCTACCCCATCAGGAACGGAGAAAGAGAACCTCTGTAGTAAACCGACCAAAAACAAGAATAGCTCCATCTTGGCAAGGCCTTCTCCAAGACACACCCGTTTCCCTGAAGTGTTCGCAAACACACAAAGATGTCAAGATAAAACTTTTATTCTGGTTCAGATTGTGTTCAGGATTGAGGTATATTTGGTTTACCTGCAGAGAAAGGCAGGAGAGCTTCTCTCTTCACAAACTTTCCCTCAGCATCTAGGAAGTGTCCTGGGTTGAAGCTGTCTGGAGTCTCCCATTCTGTCTTGTCAAACAGCACAGAGGTCAGGTTGGGCAACAAGGACGTACCCTTAAAAACAAGATATGTAGGTTAACACCAAGCAATGCAGCAACAACAACAACATTTTTCATTCTTCAAAACATTTCAAGACTTAAAATGACTGTGTACTAAATGCACCTTGGGTATGAAGTAACCGCCCAGTGTTGTGTCCTTGGCAGCCATTCTGAGTCCATTGAGAGGAACGATGTTTCCCATCCTCTGGATCTCATGGATGACAGCGTCAGTGTAGGGCAGGTTGGGTCTGTCTGCCATAGTGGGCTGGCGGGTCTGTCCAATCACTCGGTCTATCTCTGCATGGACTTTGTCTAGAAAAGTTTGCAATTAGTTTCAGCTTCCTTGACTGAATACTACAAAGAAAAACATTTATCTGACTAGTTTAAATGCTCTGCTACTTCAAAGAGTGTCCACTAACTACTAGACTTTAAATTTGCAAGAGGACCCGTTCCCTCTGTAGATAAAAAGATGTAATTCTCTGGAAACGAAAACACGATTCTTATTTTCAAGTGATTATACATTAATGAAAATCTCTATCATTTTAGCCATGCTAGCAGCTTGCTCTGTCAGCTGGTCCACCACCTTGGTCCAGACTGAGATATCTTAACAACTATAGGATGGATCGCTCTGAAATTTAGTTCATTCATTGTTAGCTCAAAGCAGCACTGTCCCTAAGTACAGAGTACAGAGACACTTGGCTCAGTATAGGGCCTGGCATGTCACCTACCCTGGATATCTGGGTTATTGATAAGGAAAACCAAGGCCCACAGCAAAGTGGTGGAGGTTGTCTCTGTTCCAGCCAGGAACAGATCCAGAGAGCACAGAGCCAGATTGGTCTCAGTGAAGCCCAGCTCAGAGTCTTTGTGCTGTTCACAAATGCAGAGAAGATACAGTGGTGAATGGCAGGTTGATTGACAGGAAGGTTTACACATTGCGGTGTGTGCGTGATGCACGCATTCACATACATTCTCAATTTCAGTGATGAAGGTGTCAATGTAGTCCCGGGGATTGTTGTGGTCCACGTTGTTCTTGTGCATCTTTACCTCCTCACCAATGAAGTCAAGGAGGGCCTCGTTATGGCTGAAAATTTTGTTGTGAGGACCCGGCAAGTGCTTCATCACTCTAGGGAATGACTCATACAGCTAGAAAGAAAACGGTAGATGATCGAAACGTTAATTCACATCACTTTTCAGCTTTTGTGACAATCTATAAGCACAGACATTGGAGGAATGAGGCCATGGTTATGGAGGGTTGACTAGATTGAAGTAAATGGACATTACTGACTTACCGTACCCCACACAGAGCCCTGCAGCAACATACTTTCTGACAGATACTGCAGCATTATCTGGAATTTGTGGTCGCTGTATTCAAAGCGTTTCCCCATCACCAGCTGGCAAATGATGTTGGACACAGCGTTGTTGAAGAGGCCTGCTGGGCTGAATAGTTGACCTGGAGGAAAACAGTCATTTAGATGATTTCTTAAGAGATGATGTGGATGAGTATGACTTTATTTTGTACTCCATGTGTACCACCTTTCTCTCTCTCTATCTCCTCCAGCAGGTGTCGGACTTCCTCACAGATACTCTGCTCCATGGTGCTTTTGCCCAGGCCAAAGCTACGTAAAGTTGACAAGGCAAAGCGTCTTTGTCTCTTCCATATTTCACCATTGCTCATGAACAGACCACCTAGACACAAACATGCAGAGGAAACAAGGTTAATAGCTCAGGGGAGCTAAATTGTTCAAAACATGAGACTAGAGAAAGATTTGTACACCTGAGGGTCCTGAGTAAAGTGTGTCGGCGAGTGCGCTGTACGGTCGATCCACAAAGTTCTCGGCTTGTGTTATAATGGCTTCCTTCACCATTTTGTACCCAGACACAAACACCAGCTTCTCACTGCCGAGGCGGATACTGAACACCTTCCCATAGATGTCAGCCAGCTGTGGACAATACATGGAAGATCAAACACAGATGAACCACAACATATTGCTGCCTTATATCAAAAACAAGACCCGGCAGTATTTACCATTAATTTCTATACAAAAATGAGGACTTGAAACACACATTTCCTAGCGTATGAACATTACTGTACATTCAGGTGAATGAATAGAGATAACTGAAACTGAAAACTTTTTAAGTTAGTTCCCTATCCTGATAGCAATTACACAATAGTGCGAATTAATCCAATGGATCAAGTTTAAATGCATTAAAATGTATTAAATGTTCAAATTCACAAAAATGCACTGCAAAAAATTATTGATAAACAAATTACAGTTTGAACAAATCTAAAAGAATCACTTTTAATCTTTGATCCTTAAAGCTTACGAGTGCTGTAAGGTGAAATCCTCCTGTGTACTAAACTTTACCTTGGTAAAATAAATGTGTGAATGTTTATGGTCCACACTGAAGAAACTTCCCACAAAGGGAAGAGCGAATGGTCCTGGAGGAAAATTTGGAGGATTCCTGTTTTTGAGGAAGTCTGCTATTAGTATAAAAACCAAAAAAAATAGGAGCAACCCCTTGAAGTCAAAACTTAGCAAAAAATTATAAAGCCACATTGTTAAAGAGTGTTAAACCAGCAGCTGGAAGAGGGTCTAAGTTTTCTTAAGACTTCCTTCTTCTTCACTCGAAACATCTGTGGTTTTATAATGTCCGTTTACCCTTTTGTGGTCTGGGAAAAGTTCATTTTGATTCAGAGAATGTACAAAGGTGCTTGTGACAGTGTTCTTACATAACCAACTACAGACACACCTACTTTTCCCTTGACTAACAAGATCTCTGTTATATGATGAAAGGTAAAGTAATAACACAACACACAGTACCTCATTAACATAAACATTAATGTTAAAAAGTTAATATGATGGCAGTCAGACATGAGCAACAACAATCCCAACTCAGCAATACAACATACATTGTGTGCAAAACTCCTCTTTCAGTGACCTTAAGTCAACAATACAAAGTGCAGTGGGAATAAAAGGCATCTAACTTATCCATGTAAATTACAATCAGAGTAAGACGCTGTCGGAATAATAGAAATATAATGTTACAAGGTATCTTTTGCATATCAGCTAAGATATTTAGCATCATGGTCATTGGGCAGAAATGTTTTTCAAAGTTTATTCATTTATGTTTATGAAAGGTTTTCAAAAGATAAGCAATATTGAGGAACATTACACAATTTTCACACTTCTCAAAATTCTTCTTAAATAATTTATGTTATCAAACAACTCTGGGAAATTCCTTTATTGATTTAAGAACAGAATAAAACATAATTAAAACAGACTTGTATTTACTATATGCTATATTTCATAGCTATAGATGAAGATAAATGCTCGTATTCATACAGAATATATTTATCATTTAGTCATAACAAAATCAAAGAGGCTAATAGCGAAAACAATGTTTAGTTTTTGGATCGTTTTTCCTACTTTCACTAAATTAATATTGGATATTCAGGTTAATCTAGACTTGACTTGAACTGAGGCTTTGATTTGTGTTTAAGTGATATTTGATTTTGTGACATGTGAAGGAAATCATGTGGAACTAATGTATGAGACATCATAATCTAATAATGCATTATATATCATAATCTCCTGTTGTATAAGCATTGCTGTTATATAACTCCTAATGGATCAACAGGTTATCAATGTCATAAGTTAATGACCATGTTGTTAAAGATCCAACAGCTTGTCAGACCAGTGATAGATAGATACAGTATTAGAATATTGTACATTTTTATAGTTTATTTGATGTGTTTAAGTTTAAGTGAGAATGTAATACTTCCAGGGCAAACTTTATTAAGTGTACTGAACTAAACTATAACATTAGGGTAGTTTTATTGTAATTGATAGCTTGTAAAGCTATGCTTCCCCCAACACTGTTTATCACCCAGAAATAAATACAGGAAAGAATAAACAGGTCCTCAGCACATGAGGCAATCATACAACAGTGAAAGGTTAAGTCACTACAGATTTCTCTCCTTAGGTGTTTTGCTGAGTCTTGTCAGTTGCATAATTCAGCGAGCCTTGGCGTGAACCTTGTAGGGCTGCGGTGCATGTGTAAGGCCAGTAGTTCCCCCTGTACTCAGCTCTACCCCATCAGGAACGGAGAAAGAGAACCTCTGTAGTAAACCGACCAAAAACAAGAATAGCTCCATCTTGGCAAGGCCTTCTCCAAGACACACCCGTTTCCCTGAAGTGTTCACAAACACACAAAGATGTCAAGATAAAACTTTTATTCTGGTTCAGATTGTGTTCAGGATTGAGGTATATTTGGTTTACCTGCAGAGAAAGCCAGGAGAGCTTCTCTCTTCACAAACTTTCCCTCAGCATCTAGGAAGTGTCCTGGGTTGAAGCTGTCTGGAGTCTCCCATTCTGTGTTGTCGAACAGCACAGAGGTCAGGTTGGGCAACAAGAGTGTACCCTTAAAAACAAGATATGTAGGTTAACACCAAGCAATGCAGCAACGACAACAACATTTTTCATTCTCCAAAACATTTCAAGACTTAAAATGACTGTGTACTAAATGCACCTTGGGTATGAAGTAACCGCCCAGTGTTGTGTCCTTGGCAGCCATTCTGAATCCATTGAGAGGAACGATGTTTCCCATCCTCTGGGTCTCATGGATGACAGCGTCAGTGTAGGGCAGGTTGGTTCTGTCTGCCATAGTGGGCTGACGGGTCTGTCCAATCACTTGGTCAATCTCTGCATGGACTTTGTCTAGAAAAGTTTGCAATTAGTTTCAGCTTCCTTGACTGAATACTACAAAGAAAAACATTTATCTGACTAGTTTAAATGCTCTGTTACTTCAAATAGTGGCCACTAACTACTAGACTTTAAATTTGCAAGAGGACCCGTTCCCTCTGTAGATAAAAAGATGTAATTCTCGATTCACACGATTCTTATTTTCAAGTGATTATACATTAATGAAAATCTCTATCATTTTAGCCATGCTAGCAGCTTGCTCTGTCAGCTGGTCCACCACCTTGGTCCAGACTGAGATATCTTAACAACTATAGGATGGATCGCTCTGAAATTTAGTTCATTCATTGTTAGCTCAAAGCAGCACTGTCCCTAAGTACAGAGTACAGAGACACTTGGCTCAGTATAGGGCCTGGCATGTCACCTACCCTGGATATCTGGGTTACTGATAAGGAAAACCAAGGCCCACAGCAAAGTGGTGGAGGTTGTCTCTGTTCCAGCCAGGAACAGATCCAGAGAGCACACAGCCAGATTGGTCTCAGTGAAGCCCAGCTCAGAGTCTTTGTGCTGTTCACAAATGCAGAGAAGATACAGTGGTGAATGGCAGGTTGATTGACAGGAAGGTTTACACATTGCGGTGTGTGCGTGATGCACGCATTCACATACATTCTCAATTTCAGTGATGAAGGTGTCAATGTAGTCCCGGGGATTGTTGTGGTCCACGTTGTTCTTGTGCATCTTTACCTCCTCACCAATGAAGTCAAGGAGGGCCTCGTTATGGCTGAAAATTTTGTTGTGAGGACCCGGCAAGTGCTTCATCACTCTAGGGAATGACTCATACAGCTAGAAAGAAAACGGTAGATGATCGAAACGTTAATTCACTTTTCAGCTTTTGTGACAATCTATAAGCACAGACATTGGAGGAATGAGGCCATGGTTACGGAGGGTTGACTCCCACACTGCGGTCTATCTGATAGATTGAAGTAAATGGACATTACTGACTTACCGTACCCCACACAGAGCCCTGCAGCGAGATCATTTCGAACAGATAATGCAGCATTGCCTGGAATTTGTGGTCGCTGTAGTCAAAGCGTTTCCCCATCACCAGCTGGCAAATGATGTTGGACACAGCGTTGTCGAAGAGGCCTGCTGGGCTGAATAGTTGACCTGGAGGAAAAGAGTCATTTAGACGATTTCTTAAGAGATGATGTGGATGAGTATGAGTTTATTTTGTACTCCATGTGTACCACCTTTCTCTCTCTCTATCTCCTCCAGCAGGTGTCGGACTTCCTCACAGACACTCTCCTCCATGATGCCTTTTCCCAGGCCAAAGCTACGTAAAGTTGACAAGGCAAAGCGTCTTTGTCTCTTCGATATTTCACCACTGCTCATGATCAGCCCACCTAGACACAAACATGCAGATGAAACAAGGTTAATGGCTCAGGGGAGCTAAATTGTGCACAACATGAGACTAGAGAAAGATTTGTACACCTGAGGGTCCTGAGTTAACTCTGTCACCGATTGCGCTGTACGGTCGATCCCCAAAGTTCTCGGCTTGTGTTATAATGGCTTCCTTCACCATTTTGTACCCAGACACAAACACCACATTGTCCCTGCCGAGGCGGATACTGAACACCTTCCCATAGATGTCAGCCAGCTGTGGACAATACATGGAAGATCAAACACAGATGAACCACAACATATGGCTGCCTTATATCAAAAACAAGACCCGGCAGTATTTACCATTAATTTCTATAAAAAAATTAGGACTTGAAACACACATTTCCTAGCGTATGAACATTACTGTACATTCAGGTGAATGAATAGAGATAACTGAAACTGAAAACTTTTAAAGTTAGTTCCCTATCCTGATAGCAATTACACAATAGTGCAAATTAATCCAATGGATCAAGTTTAAATGTATTAAAATGTATCAAATGTTCAAATTCACACATATGCACTGCAAAAAATTATTGATAAACAAATTACAGTTTGAACAAATCTAAAAGAATCACTTTTAATCTTTGATCCTTAAAGCTTACGAGTGCTGTAAGGTGAAATCTTTACCTTGGTAAAATAAATGTGTGGATATTTATGGTCCACACTGAAGAAACTTCCCACAAAGGGAAGAGCAAATGGTCCTGGAGGAAAATTTGGAGGACTCCTGTTTTTGAGGAAGTCTGCTATTAGTATTAAAACAAAAATAAACAAGAACATCAACTTGAGGTCAAAACTCAGCAAAAAATTATAAAGCGACATTGTTAAAGACTGTTAAACCAGCAGCTGGAAGAGGGTCTAAGCTTTCTTAAGACTTCCTTCTTCTTCACTCGAAACACCTGTGGTTCTATAATGTCCGTTTACCCTTTTGTGGTCTGGGCAAACAGGTTATTCACAGTTTGAGTTTATTTCACAGGTGTTTGTGAAAGTGATCAACTACAGACACACCTACTTTTCCCTTGACAAACAAGACCTCTGTCATATGATGAAAGGGTAAAGTAATAACACAACACACAGTACCTCATTAACATTAACATTAATGATAAAAAGTTCATATGATGGCAGTCAGACATGAGCAACAACAATGGCAACTCAGCAATACAACATACATTGTGTGCAAAACTCCTCTTTCACTGACCTTAGACTTTAATTGGATATTAATAGTGTTGACAAAATTAAGTCAACAATACCAAGTGCAGTTGGAATAAAAGGCAAGCATGTTTATGAAAGGTTTTCAAAAGATAAGCAATATTGAGGAACATTATACAGAAGCCGAGAACGGCCATGGATTATTTACATTTTTATGCACCGTTATATCGTGTTAACGACTTATTATCTCGTTATCTCGATATAACAAAGTTTGTTTTCTCATGATAACTAATTAATTATTTCGTTATCTCGATATAACAAAGTTTGTTTTCTCATGATAACTAATTAATTATTTCGTTATCTCGATATAGCAAAGTTTGTTTTCTCATGATAACTAATTAATTAATGATGTGTTCGTCTTGATTTCAACCTAGAAGAGCTGCCACGAACTACGGAAGCCGAGAACGGCCATGGATTTTCTTTATTTTTATGCACTGTTATCTCGTGATAACGACTTATTAATTTGTTATCTCGACATAGCAAAGATCGTTATCTCGTGATAACGAATTAATTAATAATGTGTTCGTCTTGACTTCAAACTAATGCGCTGCCACGAAGGGCTTCCATCACTTACCGGTCGGCTACAGCTACGGCCAGTGGCTACGGAAGCCGTTCGTGGCAGTGCATTAGTTTGAAGTCAAGACGAACACATTATTAATTAATTCGTTATCACGAGATAATGATCTTTGTTATGTCGAGATAAAGAAATAATTAATTTGTTATCTCGAGAAAACAAACTTTGGCACAAGAGCTGCCACGAACGGCTTCCTTAGCCACTGGCTGTAGCTGTAGCCTACCGGTAACTTACACTTTACGTTGGTTTGTTTACTTGACTGGAAGCCGTTCGTGGCAGCTCTTGTAGGTTGAAATCAAGACGAACACATTATTAATTAATTAGTTCTCGGCCTCTGTAACTTTTCAAAAAGTTATAAAGCGACATTGTTAAAGAGTGTTAAACCAGCAGCTGGAAGAGGGTCTAAGCTTTCTTAAGACTTCCTTCTTCTTCACTCGAAACACCTGTGGTTTTATAATGTCCGTTTACCCTTTTGTGGTCTGGGAAAAGTTCTTCAGACTTTGATTGGATATTAATAGTGTAGACAAAATTAAGTCAACAATACAAAGTGCAGTTGGAATAAAAGGCAAGCATGTTTATGAAAGGTTTTCAAAAGATAAGCAATATTGAGGAACATTATACGGAAGCCGAGAACGGCCATGGATTTTTTATTTTTTTAATGCACCGTTATATCGTGTTAACAACTTATTATCTTGTTATCTCGATATAACAAAGTTTGTTTTCTCGTGATAACTAATTAATTAATAATGTGTTCGTCTTGATTTCAACCTACAAGAGCTGCCACGAACTATGGAAGCCGAGAACGGCCATGGATTTTTTTTATTAGTTTGTTTACTTGACTGGAAGCCGTTCGTGGCAGCTCTTGTAGGTTGAAATCAAGACAAACACATTATTAATTAATTAGTTATCTCAAGAAAACAAACTTTGTTATATCGAGATAACGAATTAATAAGTTGTTATCACGAGATAACGGTGCATAAAAATAAAAAAAATCCATGGCCGTTCTGGGCTTCCGTAACAAACAGCTTCCAGTCAAGTAAACAAACTAACGGAAAGTGTAACTTACCGGTAGGCTTGTAGGTTGAAATCAAGATGAACACATTATTAATTAATTAGTTCTCGGCTTCCGTTACTTTTCACACTTCTCAAAATTCTTCTTAAATAATTTATGTAAACAAACAACTCTGGGAAAATCCTTTATTGATTTAAGAACAGAATAAAACATAAAACAGACTTGTATTTACTATATGCTATATTTCATAGCTTTAGATGAAGATAAATGCTCGTATTCATACAGAATATATTTATCATTTAGTCATAACAAAATCAAAGAGGCTAATAGCGAAAACAATGTTTAGTTTTTGGATCGTTTTTCCTATTTTCACTAAATTAATGTTGGATATTCAGGTTAATCTAGACTTGACTTGAACTGAGGCTTTGATTTGTGTTTAAGTGATATTTGATTTTGTGACATGTGAAGGAAATCATGTGGAACTAATGTATGAGACATCATAATCTAATAATGCATTATATATCATAATCTCCTGTTGTATAAGCATTGCTGTTATATAACTCCTAATGGATCAACAGGTTATCAATGTCATAAGTTAATGACCATGTTGTTAAAGATCCAACAGCTTGTCAGATAGATAAATACAGTATTAGTATATTGTACATTTTTATAGTTTATTTGATGTGTTTAAGTTTAAGTGAGAATGTAATACTTCCAGGGCAAACTTTGTTAAGTGTACTGAACTAAACTATAACATTAGGGTAGTTTTATTGTAATTGATAGCTTGTAAAGCTATGCTTCCCCCAACACTGTTTATCACCCAGAAATAAATACAGGAAAGAATAAACAGGTCCTCAGCACATGAGGCAATCATACAACAGTGAAAGGTTAAGTCACTACAGATTTCTCTCCTTAGGTGTTTTGCTGAGTCTTGTCAGTTGCATAATTCAGCGAGCCTTGGCGTGAACCTTGTAGGGCTGCGGTGCATGTGTAAGGCCAGTAGTTCCCCCTGTACTCAGCTCTACCCCATCAGGAACGGAGAAAGAGAACCTCTGTAGTAAACTGACCAAAAACAAGAATAGCATAATCTTGCCAAGGCTTTCTCCGGGACACACCCGTTTCCCTGAAGAGTTCACAAACACACAAAGATGTCAAGATAAAACTTTTATTCTGGTTCAGATTGTGTTGAGGATTGAGGTATATTTGGTTTACCTGCAGAGAAAGCCAGGAGAGCTTCTCTCTTCACAAACCTTCCCTCAGCATCTAGGAAGTGTCCTGGGTTGAAGCTGTCTGGAGTCTCCCATTCTGTCTTGTCGAACAGCACAGAGGTCAGGTTGGGCAACAAGAGTGTACCCTTAAAAACAAGATATGTAGGTTAACACCAAGCAATGCAGCAACGACAACAACATTTTTCATTCTCCAAAACATTTCAAGACTTAAAATGACTGTGTACTAAATGCACCTTGGGTATGAAGTAACCGCCCAGTGTTGTGTCCTTGGCAGCCACTCTGAATCCATTGAGAGGAACGACGTTTCCCATCCTCTGGATCTCATGGATGACAGCGTCAGTGTAGGGCATGTTGGGTCTGTCTGCCATAGTGGGCTGGCGGGTCTGTCCAATCACTTGGTCTATCTCTGCATGGACTTTGTCTAGAAACACAGGAAAATTTAAGAAATCCACATTTCAAGAAAAACTTGAGTGTGAAACTTTGCTTTAATCTTTTGCTCCAAAATTAGTTTCCAAATAATAAGGGTGATTGAGGGGATCAGGTTGCCTAATGCCTTAAAGTTTGCTATTAGTTTCAGCTTCCTTGACTAATTACTACAAAGAAAAACATTTATCTGACTGGTTTAAATGCTCTGCTACTTCAAAGACTTGTCCACTAACTACTAGACTTTACATTTGCAAGAGGACCCGTTCCCTCTGTAGATAAAAACATGTAATTCTCTGAAAACAAAAACACAATTCTTATTTTCAAGTGATTATACACTAATAAAAACATACTTAAGAATATTATTATCAATTTCTCCTATATTTTGCAAAGAGAGCTCCCTAAATGTTACACACTGAGTCTGTAATGCCGGTAACCCGACTGGGTAAACTTACTGTTGCAGCCAATCATTTAATAAATGGAGCGAAGCCTGTGAGCTAGTTCAGGAGGTCAACTTGAGTTGCGCTGATATACACACATGACATGCCCCATTCCATAATCACTAACCAGGTGCACCCTTCCAATCTGGCAGTCTATTTAAACTGCACAATTTCTCAGCTCTCCCTCTGCTCTGTATATGCCGCTGTTGCCCTGCATCCGTATTGCTGCTGCTGCACTGAAAGCCCCACCACCACCCAAGCATCCACTTGTAGGCTCCGGCTAGGGGTTAAGGTATTTGCTCATCACTCCCCAATATCTCTATGTAAACATATCTGCGGGGAATGATAAGGTGGGAGCCTAGATGCCAAAATCTAAATATGCTGTACTGCTGTAATAAACATTTCAAGCGTGAGTTGTCTAACTGAACTACTGTTAATGTAACAATATTTATTACATTATTGGCTGCAACATATACAAACAATCTCTATCATTTTAGCCATGCTAGCAGCTTGCTCTGTCAGCTGGTCCACCACCTTGGTCCAGACTGAGATATCTTAACAACTATAGGATGGATCGCTCTGAAATTTAGTTCATTCATTGTTAGCTCAAAGCAGCACTGTCCCTAAGTACAGAGTACAGAGACACTTGGCTCAGTATAGGGCCTGGCATGTCACCTACCCTGGATATCTGGGTTATTGATAAGGAAAACCAAGGCCCACAGCAAAGTGCTGGAGGTTGTCTCTGTTCCAGCCAGGAACAGATCCAGAGAGCACACAGTCAGATTGGTCTCAGTGAAGCCCAGCTCAGAGTCTTTGTGCTGTTCACAAATGCAGAGAAGATACAGTGGTGAATGGCAGGTTGATTGACAGGAAGGTTTACACATTGCGGTGTGTGCGTGATGCACGCATTCACATACATTCTCAATTTCAGTGATGAAGGTGTCAATGTAGTCCCGGGGATTGTTGTGGTCCACGTTGTTCTTGTGCATCTTTACCTCCTCACCAATGAAGTCAAGGAGGACCTTGTTATGGCTGAAAATTTTGTTGTGAGGACCCGGCAAGTGCTTCATCACTCTAGGGAATGACTCATACAGCTAAAAAGAAAACGGTAGATGATCGAAACGTTAATTCACATCACTTTTCAGCTTTTGTGACAATCTATAAGCACAGACATTGGAGGAATGAGGCCATGGTTACGGAGGGTTGACTCCCACACTGCGGTCTATCAGATAGATTGAAGTAAATGGACATTACTGACTTACCGTACCCCACAAAGAACCCTGCAGCGAGATCATTTCGAACAGATACTGCAGCATTGCCTGGAATTTGTGGTCGCTGTAGTCAAAGCGTTTCCCCATCACCAGCTGGCAAATGATGTTGGACACAGCGTTGTCGAAGAGGCCTGCTGGGCTGAATAGTTGACCTGGAGGAAAAGAGTCATTTAGACGATTTCTTAAGAGATGATGTGGATGAGTATGAGTTTATTTTGTACTCCATGTGTACCACCTTTCTCTCTCTCTATCTCCTCCAGCAGGTGTCGGACTTCCTCACAGACACTCTCCTCCATGATGCCTTTTCCCAGGCCAAAGCTACGTAAAGTTGACAAGGCAAAGCGTCTTTGTCTCTTCGATATTTCACCACTGCTCATGATCAGCCCACCTAGACACAAACATGCAGATGAAACAAGGTTAATGGCTCAGGGGAGCTAAATTGTGCACAACATGAGACTAGAGAAAGATTTGTACACCTGAGGGTCCTGAGTTAACTCTGTCACCGATTGCGCTGTACGGTCGATCCCCAAAGGTCTCGGCTTGTGTTATAATGGCTTCCTTCACCATTTTGTACCCAGACACAAACACCACATTGTCCCTGCCGAGGCGGATACTGAACACCTTCCCATAGATGTCAGCCAGCTGTGGACAATACATGGAAGATCAAACACAGATGAACCACAACATATTGCTGCCTTATATCAAAAACAAGACCCGGCAGTATTTACCATTAATTTCTATACAAAAATTAGGACTTGAAACACACATTTCCTAGCGTGTGAACATTACTATACATTCAGGTGAATGAATAGAGATAACTGAAACTGAAAACTTTTAAAGTTAGTTCCCTATCCTGATAGCAATTACACAATAGTGCAAATTAATCCAATGGATCAAGTTTAAATGTATTAAAATGTATCAAATGTTCAAATTCACACATATGCACTGCAAAAGATTATTGATAAACAAATTACAGTTTGAACAAATCTAAAAGAATCACTTTTAATCTTTGATCCTTAAAGCTTACGAGTGCTGTAAGGTGAAATCTTTACCTTGGTAAAATAAATGTGTGGATATTTATGGTCCACACTGAAGAAACTTCCCACAAAGGGAAGAGCAAATGGTCCTGGAGGAAAATTTGGAGGACTCCTGTTTTTGAGGAAGTCTGCTATTAGTATTAAAACAAAAATAAACAAGAACATCAACTTGAGGTCAAAACTCAGCAAAAAATTATAAAGCGACATTGTTAAAGAGTGTTAAACCAGCAGCTGGAAGAGGGTCTAAGCTTTCTTAAGACTTCCTTCTTCTTCACTCGAAACACCTGTGGTTTTATAATGTCCGTTTACCCTTTTGTGGTCTGGGCAAACAGGTTATTCAGAGTTTGAGTTTATTTCACAGGTGTTTGTGAAAGTGATCAACTACAGACACACCTACTTTTCCCTTGACAAACAAGACCTCTGTCATATGATGAAAGGGTAAAGTAATAACACAACACACAGTACCTCATTAACATTAACATTAATGTTAAAAAGTTCATATGATGGCAGTCAGACATGAGCAACAACAATGGCAACTCAGCAATACAACATACATTGTGTGCAAAACTCCTCTTTCACTGACCTTAGACTTTAATTGGATATTAATAGTGTTGACAAAATTAAGTCAACAATACCAAGTGCAGTTGGAATAAAAGGCAAGCATGTTTATGAAAGGTTTTCAAAAGATAAGCAATATTGAGGAACATTATACAGAAGCCGAGAACGGCCATGGATTATTTATATTTTTATGCACCGTTATATCGTGTTAACGACTTATTATCTCGTTATCTCGATATAACAAAGTTTGTTTTCTCATGATAACTAATTAATTATTTCGTTATCTCGATATAACAAAGTTTGTTTTCTCATGATAACTAATTAATTATTTTGTTATCTCGATATAGCAAAGTTTGTTTTCTCATGATAACTAATTAATTAATAATGTGTTCGTCGTGATTTCAACCTAGAAGAGCTGCCACGAACTACAGAAGCCGAGAACAGCCATGGATTTTCTTTATTTTTATGCACTGTTATCTCGTGATAACGACTTATTAATTTGTTATCTCGACATAGCAAAGATCGTTATCTCGTGATAACGAATTAATTAATAATGTGTTCGTCTTGACTTCAAACTAATGCGCTGCCACGAACGGCTTCCATCACTTACCGGTCGGCTACAGCTACGGCCAGTGGCTACGGAAGCCGTTCGTGGCAGTGCATTAGTTTGAAGTCAAGACGAACACATTATTAATTAATTCGTTATCACGAGATAATGATCTTTGTTATGTCGAGATAAAGAAATAATTAATTTGTTATCTCGAGAAAACAAACTTTGGCACAAGAGCTGCCACGAACGGCTTCCTTAGCCACTGGCTGTAGCTGTAGCCTACCGGTAAGTTACACTTTACGTTGGTTTGTTTACTTGACTGGAAGCTGTTCGTGGCAGCTCTTGTAGGTTGAAATCAAGACGAACACATTATTAATTAATTAGTTCTCGGCCTCTGTAACTTTTCAAAAAGTTATAAAGCGACATTGTTAAAGAGTGTTAAACCAGCAGCTGGAAGAGGGTCTAAGCTTTCTTAAGACTTCCTTCTTCTTCACTCGAAACACCTGTGGTTTTATAATGTCCGTTTACCCTTTTGTGATCTGGGAAAAGTTCTTCAGACTTTGATTGGATATTAATAGTGTAGACAAAATTAAGTCAACAATACAAAGTGCAGTTGGAATAAAAGGCAAGCATGTTTATGAAAGGTTTTCAAAAGATAAGCAATATTGAGGAACATTATACGGAAGCCGAGAACGGCCATGGATTTTTAATTTTTTTAATGCACCGTTATATCGTGTTAACAACTTATTATCTTGTTATCTCGATATAACAAAGTTTGTTTTCTTGTGATAACTAATTAATTAATAATGTGTTCGTCTTGATTTCAACCTACAAGAGCTGCCACGATCTACGGAAGCCGAGAACGGCCATGGATTCTTTTTATTAGTTTGTTTACTTGACTGGAAGCCGTTCGTGGCAGCTCTTGTAGGTTGAAATCAAGATGAACACATTATTAATTAATTAGTTCACGGCTTCCGTAACTTTTCACACTTCTCAAAATTCTTCTTAAATAATTTATGTAAACAAACAACTCTGGGAAAATCCTTTATTGATTTAAGAACAGAATAAAACATAAAACAGACTTGTATTTACTATATGCTATATTTCATAGCTTTAGATGAAGATAAATGCTCGTATTCATACAGAATATATTTATCATTTAGTCATAACAAAATCAAAGAGGCTAATAGCGAAAACAATGTTTAGTTTTTGGATCGTTTTTCCTACTTTCACTAAGTTAATGTTGGATATTGAGGTTAATCTAGACTTGACTTGAACTGAGGCTTTGATTTGTGTTTAAGTGATATTTGATTTTGTGACATGTGAAGGAAATCACGTGGAACTAATGTATGAGACATCATAATCTAATAATGCATTATATATCATAATCTCCTGTTGTATAAGCATTGCTGTTATATAACTCCTAATGGATCAACAGGTTATCAATGTCATAAGTTAATGACCATGTTGTTAAAGATCCAACAGCTTGTCAGATAGATAAATACAGTATTAGTATATTGTACATTTTTATAGTTTATTTGATGTGTTTAAGTTTAAGTGAGAATGTAATACTTCCAGGGCAAACTTTGTTAAGTGTACTGAACTAAACTATAACATTAGGGTAGTTTTATTGTAATTGATAGCTTGTAAAGCTATGCTTCCCCCAACACTGTTTATCACCCAGAAATAAATACAGGAAAGAATAAACAGGTCCTCAGCACATGAGGCAATCATACAACAGTGAAAGGTTAAGTCACTACAGATTTCTCTCCTTAGGTGTTTTGCTGAGTCTTGTCAGTTGCATAATTCAGCGAGCCTTGGCGTGAACCTTGTAGGGCTGCGGTGCATGTGTAAGGCCAGTAGTTCCCCCTGTACTCAGCTCTACCCCATCAGGAACAGAGAAAGAGAACCTCTGTAGTAAACTGACCAAAAACAAGAATAGCATCATCTTGCCAAGGCTTTCTCCGGGACACACCCGTTTCCCTGAAGAGTTCACAAACACACAAAGATGTCAAGATAAAACTTTTATTCTGGTTCAGATTGTGTTCAGGATTGAGGTATATTTGGTTTACCTGCAGAGAAAGCCAGGAGAGCTTCTCTCTTCACAAACCTTCCCTCAGCATCTAGGAAGTGTCCTGGGTTGAAGCTGTCTGGAGTCTCCCATTCTGTCTTGTCGAACAGCACAGAGGTCAGGTTGGGCAACAAGAGTGTACCCTTAAAAACAAGATATGTAGGTTAACACCAAGCAATGCAGCAACGACAACAACATTTTTCATTCTCCAAAACATTTCAAGACTTAAAATGACTGTGTACTAAATGCACCTTGGGTATGAAGTAACCGCCCAGTGTTGTGTCCTTGGCAGCCACTCTGAATCCATTGAGAGGAACGACGTTTCCCATCCTCTGGATCTCATGGATGACAGCGTCAGTGTAGGGCATGTTGGGTCTGTCTGCCATAGTGGGCTGGCGGGTCTGTCCAATCACTTGGTCTATCTCTGCATGGACTTTGTCTAGAAACACAGGAAAATTTAAGAAATCCACATTTCAAGAAAAACTTGAGTGTGAAACTTTGCTTTAATCTTTTGCTCCAAAATTAGTTTCCAAATAATAAGGGTGATTGAGGGGATCAGGTTGCCTAATGCCTTAAAGTTTGCTATTATTTTCAGCTTCCTTGACTAATTACTACAAAGAAAAACATTTATCTGACTGGTTTAAATGCTCTGCTACTTCAAAGACTTGTCCACTAACTACTAGACTTTACATTTGCAAGAGGACCCGTTCCCTCTGTAGATAAAAACATGTAATTCTCTGAAAACAAAAACACAATTCTTATTTTCAAGTGATTATACACTAATAAAAACATACTTAAGAATATTATTATCAATTTCTCCTATATTTTGCAAGGAGAGCTCCCTAAATGTTACACACTGAGTCTGTAATGCCGATAACCCGACTGGGTAAACTTACTGTTGCAGCCAATCATTTAATAAATGGAGCGAAGCCTGTGAGCTAGTTCAGGAGGTCAACTTGAGTTGCGCTGATATACACACATGACATGCCCCATTCCATAATCACTAACCAGGTGCTACCTTCCAATCTGGCAGTCTATTTAAACTGCACAATTTCTCAGCTCTCCCTCTGCTCTGTATATGCCGCTGTTGCCCTGCATCCGTATTGCTGCTGCTGCACTGAAAGCCCCACCACCACCCAAGCATCCACTTGTAGGCTCCGGCTAGGGGTTAAGGTATTTGCTCATCACTCCCCAATATCTCTATGTAAACATATCTGCGGGGAATGATAAGGTGGGAGCCTAGACGCCAAAATCTAAATATGCTATACTGCTGTAATAAACATTTCAAGCGTGAGTTGTCTAACTGAACTACTGTTAATGTAACAATATTTATTACATTATTGGCTGCAACATATACAAACAATCTCTATCATTTTAGCCATGCTAGCAGCTTGCTCTGTCAGCTGGTCCACCACCTTGGTCCAGACTGAGATATCTTAACAACTATAGGATGGATCGCTCTGAAATTTAGTTAATTCATTGTTAGCTCAAAGCAGCACTGTCCCTAAGTACAGAGTACAGAGACACTTGGCTCAGTATAGGGCCTGGCATGTCACCTACACTGGATATCTGGGTTATTGATAAGGAAAACCAAGGCCCACAGCAAAGTGCTGGAGGTTGTCTCTGTTCCAGCCAGGAACAGATCCAGAGAGCACACAGTCAGATTGGTCTCAGTGAAGCCCAGCTCAGAGTCTTTGTGCTGTTCACAAATGCAGAGAAGATACAGTGGTGAATGGCAGGTTGATTGACAGGAAGGTTTACACATTGCGGTGTGTGCGTGATGCACGCATTCACATACATTCTCAATTTCAGTGATGAAGGTGTCAATGTAGTCCCGGGGATTGTTGTGGTCCACGTTGTTCTTGTGCATCTTTACCTCCTCACCAATGAAGTCAAGGAGGACCTTGTTATGGCTGAAAATTTTGTTGTGAGGACCCGGCAAGTGCTTCATCACTCTAGGGAATGACTCATACAGCTAGAAAGAAAACGGTAGATGATCGAAACGTTAATTCACATCACTTTTCAGCTTTTGTGACAATCTATAAGCACAGACATTGGAGGAATGAGGCCATGGTTACGGAGGGTTGACTCCCACACTGCGGTCTGTCAGATAGATTGAAGTAAATGGACATTACTGACTTACCGTACCCCACAAAGAACCCTGCAGCGAGATCATTTCGAACAGATACTGCAGCATTGCCTGGAATTTGTGGTCGCTGTAGTCAAAGCGTTTCCCCATCACCAGCTGGCAAATGATGTTGGACACAGCGTTGTCGAAGAGGCCTGCTGGGCTGAATAGTTGACCTGGAGGAAAAGAGTCATTTAGACGATTTCTTAAGAGATGATGTGGATGAGTATGAGTTTATTTTGTACTCCATGTGTACCACCTTTCTCTCTCTCTATCTCCTCCAGCAGGTGTCGGACTTCCTCACAGACACTCTCCTCCATGATGCCTTTTCCCAGGCCAAAGCTACGTAAAGTTGACAAGGCAAAGCGTCTTTGTCTCTTCGATATTTCACCACTGCTCATGATCAGCCCACCTAGACACAAACATGCAGATGAAACAAGGTTAATGGCTCAGGGGAGCTAAATTGTGCACAACATGAGACTAGAGAAAGATTTGTACACCTGAGGGTCCTGAGTTAACTCTGTCACCGATTGCGCTGTACGGTCGATCCCCAAAGTTCTCGGCTTGTGTTATAATGGCTTCCTTCACCATTTTGTACCCAGACACAAACACCACATTGTCCCTGCCGAGGCGGATACTGAACACCTTCCCATAGATGTCAGCCAGCTGTGGACAATACATGGAAGATCAAACACAGATGAACCACAACATATTGCTGCCTTATATCAAAAACAAGACCCGGCAGTATTTACCATTAATTTCTATACAAAAATTAGGACTTGAAACACACATTTCCTAGCGTGTGAACATTACTATACATTCAGGTGAATGAATAGAGATAACTGAAACTGAAAACTTTTAAAGTTAGTTCCCTATCCTGATAGCAATTACACAATAGTGCAAATTAATCCAATGGATCAAGTTTAAATGTATTAAAATGTATCAAATGTTCAAATTCACACATATGCACTGCAAAAGATTATTGATAAACAAATTACAGTTTGAACAAATCTAAAAGAATCACTTTTAATCTTTGATCCTTAAAGCTTACGAGTGCTGTAAGGTGAAATCTTTACCTTGGTAAAATAAATGTGTGGATATTTATGGTCCACACTGAAGAAACTTCCCACAAAGGGAAGAGCAAATGGTCCTGGAGGAAAATTTGGAGGACTCCTGTTTTTGAGGAAGTCTGCTATTAGTATTAAAACAAAAATAAACAAGAACATCAACTTGAGGTCAAAACTCAGCAAAAAATTATAAAGCGACATTGTTAAAGAGTGTTAAACCAGCAGCTGGAAGAGGGTCTAAGCTTTCTTAAGACTTCCTTCTTCTTCACTCGAAACACCTGTGGTTTTATAATGTCCGTTTACCCTTTTGTGGTCTGGGCAAACAGGTTATTCAAAGTTTGAGTTTATTTCACAGGTGTTTGTGAAAGTGATCAACTACAGACACACATACTTTTCCCTTGACAAACAAGACCTCTGTCATATGATGAAAGGTAAAGTAATAACACAACACACAGTACCTCATTAACATAAACATTAATTTTAAAAAGTTCATATGATGGCAGTCAGACATGAGCAACAACAATGGCAACTCAGCAATACAACATACATTGTGTGCAAAACTCCTCTTTCACTGACCTTAGACTTTGATTGGATATTAATAGTGTAGACAAAATTAAGTCAACAATACAAAGTGCAGTTGGAATAAAAGGCAAGCATGTTTATGAAAGGTTTTCAAAAGATAAGCAATATTGAGGAACATTATACAGAAGCCGAAAACGGCCATGGATTATTTCTTTTTTTATGCACTGTTATATCGTGTTAACGACTTATTATCTCGTTATCTCGATATAACAAAGTTTGTTTTCTCATGATAACTAATTAATTATTTCGTTATCTCGATATAACAAAGTTTGTTTTCTCATGATAACTAATTAATTATTTCGTTATCTCGATATAACAAAGTTTGTTTTCATGATAACTAATTAATTAATAATGTGTTCGTCTTGATTTCAACCTACAAGAGCTGCCACGAACTACGGAAGCCGAGAACGGCCATGGATTATTTATTTTTTTATGCACTGTTATCTCATGATAACGACTTATTAATTTGTTATCTCGACATAGCAAAGATCGTTATCTCGTGATAACGAATTAATTAATAATGTGTTCGTCTTGACTTCAAACTAATGCGCTGCCACGAACGGCTTCCATCACTTACCGGTCGGCTACAGCTACGGCCAGTGGCTACGGAAGCCGTTCCTGGCAGCGCATTAGTTTGAAGTCAAGACGAACACATTATTAATTAATTCGTTATCACGAGATAATGATCTTTGTTATGTCGAGATAAAGAAATAATTAATTGGTTATCTTGAGAAAACAAACTTTGGTACAAGAGCTGCCACGAACGGCTTCCTTAGCCACTGGCTGTAGCTGTAGCCTACCGGTAAGTTACACTTTACGTTAGTTTGTTTACTTGACTGGAAGCTATGAGGGGCCGTACAAGACATTATTCATTCTGGCCCTCTCACATACATATATTCTTCTTTCACATACATATATATTCCCTCTCACATACATATATTCTTCTTTCACATACATATATTTTCACTCTCACATACATATATTTTCCTTCACACATTCATATATTTTTACTCTCACATACATATATTTTCCTTCACACATTCATATATTTTCACTCACACATTCATATATTTTCACTCTCACATACATATATTTTCCTTCACACATTCATATATTTTTACTCTCACATACATATATTTTCCTTCACACATTCATATATTTTCACTCACACATTCATATATTTTTAAATATGTATGTAAGAGGAAAATATATGTGTGTGTGAGAAGAATATATGTGTGTGTGAGAAGAATATATGTGTGTGTGAGAGGAATATATGTGTGTGTGAGACAAAGTATACATGAAACGGAAGGACAATAGTGGAAACGGAAGGCAGGCCATTTTATCGCGCTGTGATTGGCTGAGAAGTTGGCGCGAGGTCATGTACAGGTCATGATTAACATGGAAGGGAGAGAGGAGGCCCGTGCACTGCAGCAAGCCATTGGGGTATTAAGAACTATTTTATCATCATCTGAAACAGTCACATCATTGTCCTCGTCCCTTGAGCAGCGGAGGACAAGCTCATCAGGACCTAACGTTTCTCACAGCACGGCGGAAAGTGAGATGAGAGAACTTTTCAGACCTCGAAACTCCCAAGTCGCTCCCGCAGCCAGAGCAGCTAACGTTAGCGCTACACAAGGACACACTGGAGGATTGCGGCAGTCTTTACGATATGAGACACAGCAACACTTTGGCAACTGGGGCTCCAGGAAAAGGAAAAGGTAAGAAAAACGTAGCGTTACATGGTAACTTAACTGGAAGTTACTGAATCCCGAATGCTCGTTTGCTAATTTGGCTGCAGTCAATGTCTATGTTACATGTTCGTAAAACCCGTAAATCCTCCTTAGTAAAAACAATAAAGGCAATTAAACAATCTTCAAATGACAGAAAACATCGAAGGCTGTTTTGTACTTTTGAGTAACGTTTGTATAAAATGGGTGTAAATGATTCTCTGTGTCACTCTTAGGTTAAGTTGGTAATCTCATAATAATGTGTCTAACGTTAGCGGTAGCTACATTACCTAACGACAGCTGTGGTTAAGGTATTATCATTTTCAGTTAATAGTTCAACTTCACGTTAAGTTGACTTAAGGGCAAATCAAGGTATGTGTAAGATTATAGAGCATTATAGAGCAGGTGAGGAGAGACATGGCTGACACTCTCCCAGCTCCATCATATTTTATCTTTCAGTAGATTATAATATATCTTTTAACAGCATAATCAACCAATGTTGACGATAACCAAAACTGCTAACTGCAACTTTTGGTATTTTGAGTGTTCTGGAATTTAAATTTAGTCCTGTTATGGCAGTTGAAAATTTGAGCCAGAGTCTGGCCATATGATATCGGCCATTTTAGTCAGCCATTAGTTTGTGTCAAACTGTGGAGCTGATGTTAATTCTAGCTTGCGTGGCTAAAGTGAAGAGTTGTCAGCAGTAGCAGGTTCAGTCAGTCCATATCAAAATATTGTCAGAACATGCAGTATGTTTAATGGAATGTAGACCAGAAATACAGAATTTTTTTTTCATTCCTAAATGACAGTAGAGGGTTACTAATTTAACTAATGTAACCCTGTAAAGATAATGCCTAATTTAAAGTAGTTTTATTGCAGTCTGCTGTTTGGGCAGCCTTCTATGTCTCGTTGTTGTTTATCCATCAGCTTGTTATTAATGAATCAAATAATAGTATGTACTAGTATTAGTGCAATGTTAAAGGATCCAAAAATAACATGTCTGCTTTGTTTTGTAGGGCCAAAACACATTATCACGATACTTTTAACAAAGATGTCATCCTTCTTCCAAAACCATTGAGCAGTGCTGTCGTCAGGCATTGCACAAAGCAACAGTTACATGAACAGGGACAGAGCACTGTCTGTCACTGAACAAATAGGGGATGCCTTTGGAGAAATTCTCTTTGTAAGGTAAGGACTAATATTTGTTTTTATTATGTCCAAACTGTGGTTATAAATGACTAACTGAAATTAGCAGTGCCATGAATTATTCTGGCATGAATTATTCTTTTATTTATTATAAATTCGGTTGTGTCCATCTCAAAAGAGGAAATGGAACATGACTGATCAGTTTCACTGTCTTGTGCAAAAAAGTTTGTTTGGGCCTATTTTTTTCTTGAAACTTTTACAATTTTACCTGCTGTTTTTCAGCTTGGAGTTTCTGATGGCATGTGGCAACAGACTGACTTCACCTAAACTGCGTGCCGGACAGAAGTTGGATGCAAATCTCATACATAAAATATATAGATCAAAAGCCCTATACATCAGACCATCAAAGCCAATTCTGGTATGTTAAATAATTGAATTCAATTGCAGAATAATATTAAACCCACTGTAATAATAACCAATAAGTGGTGCATACACATGCATGCATTAAGGTCAAATCTTGTCAGTTAGCTCTGACCTTTAGTATATTTTCATTAGTGTATCATGTCAAACCATATAAAGTCATTCTTAGATGTATAATAAATATAGATCTGGTGTTTCCAGGTACTATTCAGTTTACAGTAGACATTTAGTAAATCTGAAATATATGCTGATATGTTTCTCATGTCTTTCCAAGGATGATATTGCAGGCTATAGCAGTGGCGACAACAATTGTGAGGAAATCACTGGTTCAGCAAGGCAGCTACGCTCCTCATCTCTACCACAAGATAGACCCTCATATGCATCTTCAGAGAACTTCACCAGTCCAATGACTGTGTCCCCACCAAACTGTGCTTCTGGAGTTCAACCTTTACCCTCTTCACTTGGGTGTGGAGGGATATTTACTCAAACTTCTTCTTTGACCTCCCAAAGCAGTATATCTCCCAACCGCAGCAGCATTTCAGCATTAATTATTCTAAATACACATTTGTTGCATCTTTGTTAAAACAATAAGGTGCTAATATCTCCTTTCACACACATGTATCTTCACTCTCACACACATATAAATCAATGTACTCACATACATATTTTGTCACTTTCACATATGTACATACTTGACACTCATATGTGCATGTATTTTTTCTCAATGAAGTATCCAGTTTTTCACTGACGGGAAGTTCTTTCTTAAACAGGAAGTCACTTTCAAACCAGGAAGTAGATGTGCAACATGATTTCAGCTTATAACCTTAAGTTAAATAGGAGAAAAAATAGAATGACCCTATTCAAGGTTATCACGTTTTCTTGTCTAGTGCAGTTTTCCTTTGTGGGAGTAAGTAGCAATGAAAATGACATTAGACTTTTTTTAATAATGTCTTAGAATGTATTGAACTAATTCAAAGAGAAGATGGAGATCATTTTGTCCAAGAGAGGCTGTTTGGAGAACTTCGTGATCACCTCCAAACGTTATCTGGATTTCTGACAATCTCAAGATTTACTGAAGATTCAAGAAATCGAGAAGCAGTCAACACATTACGGTCCTTGTATGGATGTCTTCACTTTTTGCTGACTACTTATGAAACCAGACAAAGAACCAGGTCTGAGAACAGTTATGTCCTGTTGCCTCCACTTGTCATGACTGGACATCAAGGCAGACCACAATACAGTATTTCTGTAGAGCAAATCTCTCATTTAGTATCTCTTGGAATGAACTGGCAGAGCATTGCAACATCCTTAGGGGTAAGCTGTCGGACTCTCTACAGGCACAGACACCGGCTCGGCATTCAACCATTGACATATGCAACATTGTCAAATGACAACCTAAACAGAGTTGTTGTTGAAATTCTTCAGTCTACCACAAATGCAGGTGAACGATACGTGCATGGGAGCTTGAGGTCACGTGGGTTACGCATTCAAAGGTGGCGCGTTAGACAGAGTCTGCAAGAAATCGACCCCATTGGACGGTCCTTCAGAAGACGCCATGCAATACGTCGACGAATCTACAGTGTTCCAACCCCCAATCAACTTTGGTGAGTATTCCCAACAGACCAGAGTAGCACAAAGTCACCAGTCAGCAGTGATGGAATGTAATTAAGTTGCCTACATTTATTTAAGCACTGTACTTGCGTACAAATTCTTATATTCTTCAAATATTTTTTTTAAGGCCACTCCACTACATCTCAGAATCAAACATTGTAATTTTACTTTACTACATTTTTTATGACAGCTTTAGTTACTATTTACTCAGACTACTCACGAAATTTTGACATTGAGAGATGTGTGGTTCTCACAGGACAGTCACACTACAAACATATGATGATCTTATACAATATGATGCATTGCTATACTACCTTACTATTACTACTACTACTAGTATAAAGTACTTAACATTAGGTTTTTTTTTTATTGTGTTTGTGTTGTTCAAAGCAGTGGAGCTTGAATGTGTATGATCATTCTGCTCTACTTTGTCCACTATGTTGTAAATGTGTCAAAAACACAATTTAGTTTATTCCTAATTTTGTTTTGGGCAGCATAGCAAATACTTGGTCCTGAAATAAACTTTTATGTAACTGGAAATTGGGTTGTCTAGCAATTAATGTATGAATTAACATCTCTTAACTGATGCTCTATTTATACTAATCACAAAAACTCATAGTGACTGTACCATTTTTCTTGTGAGCAACAGCAATTCATGATACATCCCGCATTAATTCATGCATTAAATCATGAGTCATAGGGTAAGTATATAATTTTTTCTTCGTGTATTAGGAGCGTACTTTTACTCCATTACAGGATCTGAATACTTCTTCTACCACTGGTTTCTTAAAATCTGCTTGGAAGTGGTAGAAGAAATACTGAGACGCTTTCTTTGAATAAAAGTCAATATAAAAAATACTTGATTTAGAATAACTCCTGCACAGTTTTAAGTCTACAGCAAAATGGACTATCAAAAGCAAAAGAGCTCAATATTGGTAATTCTTTATTTTAGTGTTAGATTATTGATGAACAACCTTGGCCTTGTTATACTTTTCCCACAAATAATTTATTCTGATTTCATTTTCTCTTAGGCACATAGATGGAAACCACAAACTTGTGAGGTGGAGGATGGTGTTCCATGGCTGTGTTGATGGTTTCAGTCGAACCATTATCTACCTTGCTTGTCTGGACAACAACAGAGCTTCTAGTGTTTTGTCACTTTTCATTGCTGGTGTTCAGAACTTTGGACTACCATCTAGGGTCAGATGTGATCATGGACTGGAAAACACTGGTGTTGCCCGTTTCATGCTGTACAGGAGAGGACTTAACAGACATAGTGTTATCACTGGCAGGTCAGTGCATAACCAAAGGATTGAGAGATTATGGGCAGAGTTAAATCGAGTAGTGTCCTTTCATTTTGTTAATCTTTTCAATTTTATGGAGGAAAATGGTGTGTTAGATTCACTTAATGAGCTCCATTTATTTTGCCTTCATTATATTTATTTGCCACGAATTCAAAGGGCTGCCACTGAATTTCAGAACCAGTGGAATAACCATGGTCTTTCAACACAAGGGGGGCAAACTCCTCTTCAGCTGTGGCAAAGAGGCATAGTCAACAATGCAGGAGTGCATAACCCAAGTATGAATGGTATTTGTGAAACAGAGAGTGGCTTTGGTGTTGATGATAACATATCACACTCAGAGTTGCAGACAAACAATGTTGTTGTTGTTCCATCAATTAACATTACCATCAGTAACACAACAATAGACACACTTCAGCAGACTTTCAATCCATTTGAAGATGATGGAAATCATGGTATTGATTTGTTCTGCAACCTTGTGCATTTTCTTGAAGAAAGGCATTCCTAAAATCTTACCCATATTGAATACAAAGAAAGACTTAACTGATATGTATGATTTGACAAATAGACTAAGACAGGGGTCTCAAAATGATAGCCATTGCCATTTCCCATAAAATGATAAAGATATATTATAATTTGGCCCACAATCAATCCAAATTACAGCTTCATATACAATTAAAATAAAAACACGATTCTATGTTGTTTGATGCAAAAGAATCAGGAAAGGTCAAAAGTGCCTGCAAATGTGTGCAAACGGTTAACAATAAGAGAGCAAGTGTCTGGCCTTCATTCGTTGTTGAACTTCAAAAATGATTTCATATGATAATATAAAATAAATGTAAACTGATGTTATTTTGTGTTGGTTAGTAATGTTAATATTTTCAAAATATTGTGCTTTCCTGTTGCACTTGAATGTTGAAGTGGCCCTTCTGTGAGGGGTCATGTGTAACGCAAAGAAAAATAAAGAACCCACTGCCAAACACAGGGATAGTATAGCATTACACTTGCATTTTCCGTTTTAAGTTCATGGTTGCATTTTTCTTCCATTTTGTGGATATTTATAGTGTAGAGAATGTTCATACCATTTTCAATGTGATTCTGTGTGCTTAAAGCACCACATTTACATTGTTGAGCTTTGTTTCCTTACTTTAAATGTTCAATGAAATTGTAACCAAACAAATGTGTGAAACCAAATTTTATTGAAGGTTTTAAAGAACTCAATAAATCGACTGAACTGTTACTTTTTTTTAACATATGTCCTTTTTTTTTTTGAATAAAATGACAAAAAGTTAACATCAACATTAATGCAAGATCTCTAGTCAGTGAGAATAGGATTTAGGAGAGGCATAAGAAGCAACACAGAAGCAATAGCACGACAACAAAAACAGGAAATAGTTTCACATTGCACATAAATTGACCCACTGAAGACACACTTTGTAATGTTAAAACAGCTTGTACATATTGAATAAAAAAGTTATCTGACCATTCAGAAAAATTTAAACCTCCTGTTTATCAGTTTAAGACCCTTTCCACAGTAGGATTAGTGTAGAGCAATACTATGCTCAGCCAATTCAATGGAAATCAGCTCGGTGACATTTCAGCTTGACATAAAAGCAGAGCATTTGGATGCTTTAAAAGAAAACCGTGTTTCCTCAAGAGATGTAAAATGATAATTTCATGACAATTTGGAAAAGTATATATTACTTGCTTTAAATCACAGCCTTGATGTGGTGGAAGAAAATCATTACAAATCATTCACTCTACTACACATATATAATATTTAACAATTGAACTTACCTTTGTTTCAGTACAAGTATGCTAAAGGTGACCTCCTCCACTTATATAAGAGGAGTTGTCCTCCTTATCTTGGACCAGGTGAACAACACTATGTAAATTAAAATGATTTACCAATGAACTTATCAGTGAAAACAAGCTCTTTAAATTCAGTTTGGTTTCAAGATTACTAGCAAACATCCTGGCTAAAATATAGAACAAAGTTCCAAACCAATTTTAAGCTTACTACACAATACCTTTCTACAGTAAAAGTGTTTTTATTGCCTTCATAAAACTTTATTAAAACCTGAACTGTACTTAAGATATTAGCACCTTATTTTAACAAAGATGCAACAAATGTGTATTTTTCTAAACAAAAAATGTGTGAAGAACGGTTTCAGGATTATCAGCATGCTTACTCAAATTTTGACCTTTAACAGAATACTGAGAAAGAGGCCTGTCCACAAATTAAGCCATTCCAAAACCATGGGTATTGCCCAATGCAAAATCCATGTTTTCCTGAAAGGCTCTGTAAGAGGTGTGCAGTGGCAGCTTCAAGCAATTGATGCAGGTGTTTGCAATGGGCAGTTTCGAAGGGGTCGCTGTGTCCTGCTCTTGGTGAAGAAACTCTATTGAAGGTTGTGGAAAGAATTGGTGGAACTGTATTGGCGCCAGTGGCAAAGGCGAGAATTGTCCCCAGCTTCTGTGTTCCCTCTTGATCTAGAAAAAAGCAATACATCAAAAAGTTGATTTAAAAAACACTGCATGCATCACTACTCTTAACTTATGTACAATGACAAGATACAGTGCTTTATTGTTTTTTCTTAATTATTAATTAAGTGATTCAAGAACCGCTTAACCTTCTGCATCTGTTAGATAGTCTCTCCAGAAAGGAACAACGACTTCTTCAGCATGCCTCCTATTGCTACCAACTGGAGACAGATTGATGGTAAAGAGGCTGTCAACCAGGTCAGCGGTGAGCATTGTAGGAGACCAGCATAGAAGGGGGCGGAAACTCTCCGGATGACCTTTGATTTTGTCCAGCACACCAAGTGTCCTCAGTCCATCCCTGAATCTGAGTAAAAAAAAAAAAAAATTGTTGTGATTGGCGACTGAAGTTTTGACAAAAAAAGTTTGTTTTTACCTATTCACATGTAGCAGATGAATTAATCAGAGAGGAATATATAAATGTAAAATTGTGAGTATTTGCTAAGGAATGAGTAAGGAGCAAATCTGGAATGACCAGATAATATATGAATTGTTAATAAGTAGTTTGTAGTCATTAGAAATTATTCACTTAGTAGACAATGATGATTTACTAGCAAACTGAGTAAAATATACTATATTAATGAATCAGGTAATGATAAATATCGGCGAATCGTCATGCTGACCACTTTCTTCATGAGTTATTCCTGATTAACTATGAACAAGCTGCTGAGCAGTACAAAACTATTAACTTACTTACTTGTGCTCCCACAAGTAAGGTTATATATCATGAGTAGTTACTAAGTAATCCGTTATTAGTTTGTTATTATGACAAGTAGCTACAGAGTTCTTACTGGTGAATTTAAATACTCTGTAGGTAATCATTAAATGTCCAGTGTGTAGGATTTAGTGGCATCTAGATGTGTAGTTGCATATTGCAACTCACCTGCTTCCCCCTTCCGCTTCAAGAGTAAAGGAGAAACTGGTGGCCGCAAAATGTGTGAAACACAAGAGCGCCCCCTATGTAGAGGCACTGTTTGGTTCGTCTGTTCTGGGTTACTGTAGAAACATGGTGGTTCAACATGACAGGCTTGATGGAAAGATACTTGCGGAGTCCGTAAATTAAAGCAGCTCATTCTAAAGGTAAAAAAACAAAACGGTTCTTATATTCAGGTGATTAAACAAAAATGAAAACGTACCTACCTACCTACTGACCTATGAATATTATATTCCTTTTCTGCCAATAGATCCTTCTCAATCCTACACACTGGACCTTTAAGTAATTAGAGATTACTTAGTAACTACTTGTATCACCTTAGTTGAGGTTGAACAGAAAGTGTATCAGTGATTAAGCAATTAATTGTAAATTCCGCACTGCAGCTGAATCAGAGTTAAATATGTTTATTTAACAAACATTTATGAACTAATCATTACCTACTGATTCATTAATATAGTATCTTCATTAAGTAAAATTAAATAATTATCAGGTCAATTCAGGCTTTAGAGGACGGAAGGCATGGTCAAGCACACTATATACTACACACACAGAAATGGCCCATAGAAAACACACACACGGGAGTCTTCATGGGTTTCAGTTCCTTATTGAATTGGCTAAACAGAGGATCACAATTTACCTCTCAAAAGGACCACGCACTCTGTGTAACACTTGGAACATCAGGATGTCATCTACAAGCAGATTCTTGTCTTCCAACCTCCGCAGTGGCCTCAGGCAGCCAGCATTGGCCAAATACTCCTCAAGTGGCTGTGTTGTTGCTAACAGATCTTCAAATGTTTTGCACTCTATGACCTTGCAAGAGATACATTAAACAACAAAATCTGAGTGCTGTAATTAAACCTCTTCACTAGCATAGAAACAGACATACATATACACATCAAATTCTTAAACTAAGAAAAAGTTACCCTTTTAATTTTTTCCTGCAACTCCCTATCCGCAACATCTTCTAAAACTGGCGTAGCTAGTTCTGGGCCATCAACAAGGCAAGAGAAAAGAGTTGGGGACAGAAAGCCTGCAGGAGGACCGCCATGTACAAGGCTTACTGCGATGGCTCTGCCTGCAATGAAGTACCTGTCCTCTCTCATGGCTAGAGAAAATTAAATCATTATATTATTTGACAGTCCATGTGTAAAAACTCAACAACAACTTGTACCACCATATAAATTATATGATATTAATGTAAATGTAATAAGTGATTAATTGGAATTTGAGAGAACACATCAATGATATGAGATTATACCTAAAACATACCAGCAATGTCAAGAGCCAAGTTCATTTTGCCTTCTTCTCCTTCAAACATTGGAGATTGGGGCAAAGCTTCCATTAGTAGTCTTAGAAATTCTCTTCTTGGTCCACCTAAGTCAACAGCCTCTTCAGGTACTCCCATATCATCAGAAAACCTGACAGAAATAGTGTGACATGGATCGTATGTCCCTCGTTTAAAACCTCTGATGGCTCCATCCAGGACTGTGGATCTGTTAATGTTAAACTTGCTTTTCTTCTGATGGTTTATTTTTGTTGCAAGATCCTGCAAAATGTCACTCGCTGGCATCAAACATCCTGTGGTCCTTTTGAAACAAACAAGATAAATATAAGTTTGAATACATAAATGTCACATACAACTTATAGTATATTAGTAAGTATTTAATATTGTGAAATGTAAAGAAGTTGATATAAAATGATTTATAATATCATAATTTTGGACACAAAAAAGCTCTACAGCGCAGAGGAATAAAATATATAAGGCTTTGGATACAGGTACAGTATTTGTAATCAGAAATTAGTTAATTGTTGGGTTGGCTCTGCATAAAACATTTGCATCATGTACTAACTTTTCACTCTCCAGGCTTGCTATTATAGCCAGGTTCAATTCCTCATCGTCAGAAGACGTTTCAGAGAGGGCAGCCATTACTGAAAGGTAGTTCTCATAGTTTGCTGATTGATGGTGTGTTGAGGTATAGGCAGAACAATGACTTGCTGGAAGGCTGCTCTGGTAGGGTGAAGTTGAGATATCTTCGCAAGTCAGGACCAGAGTTGGATCAACTGTAGTTACTCCTCTTAATGATGAGGTAGAAAGCTGACTGGTAGAAGGGCAGCTCTCCAGTGGACATACTGGCACCGGAGCAGAAGAACTGCTTGCTGAAATGCTGCTGCGGTTGGGAGATATACTGCTTTGGGAGGTCAAAGAAGAAGTTTGAGTAAATATCCCTCCACACCCAAGTGAAGAGGGTAAAGGTTGAACTGCAGAAGCACAGTTTGGTGGGGACACAGTCATTGGACTGGTGAAGTTCTCTGAAGATGCATATGAGGGTCTATTTTGTGGTAGAGATGAGGAGCGTAGCTGCCTTGCTGAACCAGTGATTTCCTCACAATTGTTGTCGCCACTGCTATAGCCTGCAGTATCATCCTGGGAAAGACATAAGAAAGATATCAGCATATATTTCAGATTTACTAAATGTCTACTGTAAACTGAATAGTACCTGGAAACACCAGATCTATATTTATTATATATTTCTAAGAATTACTTTGGTTTGACATTCAAGGACCAGTATATAGGATTTAGTGGCATCTAGCAGTTAGGTTCTAGATTTCAACCAACTGAATAACTCGCCTTCCAAACGTGTAGGAGAAACTATGGTGGCGCTCTTAAAAAGGCCCTAGAACCAGTGTTTGTCTATTCTGGCATACTGCAGAAACATGGCAGTTCAACTTGGAGGACTTCATAAAAGAGAACCAGCTCCCTTAGTAAATAAAAATGGGAAAACCCCTAAACCCTAAGGTAACACCAACTATCCTTATTTTCAGTTGATTATACACCAATGAAAATATACCAAAGGTCAGAGCTAACTGACAAGATTTAACCTTAATGCATGCATGTGTATGCACCACTTATGGGTTATTATTACAGTGGGTTTAATATTATTCTGCAATTGAATTCAATTATATAACATACCAGAATTGGCTTTGATGGTCTGATGTATAGGGCTTTCGATTTATATATTTTATGTATGAGATTTGCATCCAGCTCCTGTCCGGCACGCAGTTTGGGTGAAATCAGTCTGTTGCCACATGCCATCAGAAAGTCCAGGCTGAAAAACAGCAGGTAAAATTGCAAAGGTTTTAAGAAAAAAACAGGCCCAAACAAACTTTTTTGCACAGGACACAGTGAAACTGATCAGTCGGTGTTCCATTTCCACAACAGAATTTATAATAAATAAAATAATAATTCATGCCACTGTTCATTTCAGTTAGTCATTTAGAATCACAGTTTGGACACAATAAAAACAAATAAAAGTCCGTACCTTACATCAGTAGAGAGTTTTTCTCCAAAGGCATCCCTTATTTGTTCAGTGACAGTGCTCTGGTCCCAGGATTTTTGGAATTCAAATCCATTCAATATATGTCCCTGTTCATGTAACTGTTGCTTTGTGCGATGCCTGACGACAGCACTGCTCGATGGTTTTGGAAGAAGGATGACATCTTTGTTGAAAGTATCGTGATAATGTGTTTTGGCCCTACAAAACAAAGCAGACATATGTGTTATTTTTGGATCCTTTGCATCCTTAATTACATGCCCCAATACTGGTGCATACTAGTACATACAATTATTTGATTCATTTAAATTAATAAGCTGATGGATAAACAACAAGACAAAGAAGGCTGCCCAAACAGAAAACTGCAATAAAACTCCTTTTACTTTAAATTAGGCATTATCTTTACAGGGTTACATTAGTTAAATTAGTAACCCTCTACTGTCATTTAGGAATGAAAAAAAAATTCTGTATTTCTGGTCTACATTCCATTAAACATACTGCATGTTCTGACAATATTTTGATATGGACTGACTGAACCTGCTACTGCTGACAACTCTTCACTTTAGCCACGCAAGCTAGAATTAACATCAGCTCCACAGTTTGACACAAACTAATGGCTGACTAAAATGGCCGATATCATATGGCCAGACTCTGGCTCAAATTTTCAACTGCCATAACAGGACTAAATTTAAATTCCAGAACACTCAAAATACCAAAAGTTGCAGTTAGCAGTTTTGGTTATCGTCAACATTGGTTGATTATGCTGTTAAAAGATATATTATAATCTACTGAAAGATAAAATATGATGGAGCTGGGAGAGTGTCAGCCATGTCTCTCCTCACCTGCTCTATAATGCTCTATAATCTTACACATACCTTGATTTGCCCTTAAGTCAACTTAACGTGAAGTTGAACTATTAACTGAAAATGATAATACCTTAACCACAGCTGTCGTTAGGTTATGTAGCTACCGCTAACGTTAGACACATTATTATGAGATTACCAACTTAACCTAAGAGTGACACAGAGAATCATTTACACCCATTTTATACAAACGTTACTCAAAAGTACAAAACAGCCTTCGATGTTTTCTGTCATTTGAAGATTGTTTAATTGCCTTTATTGTTTTTACTAAGGAGGATTTACGGGTTTTACGAACATGTAACATAGACATTGACTGCAGCCAAATTAGCAAACGAGCATTCGGGATTCAGTAACTTCCAGTTAAGTTACCATGTAACGCTACGTTTTTCTTACCTTTTCCTTTTCCTGGAGCCCCAGTTGCCAAAGTGTTGCTGTGTCTCATATCGTAAAGACTGCCGCAATCCTCCAGTGTGTCCTTGTGTAGCGCTAACGTTAGCTGCTCTGGCTGCGGGAGCGACTTGGGAGTTTCGAGGTCTGAAAAGTTCTCTCATCTCACTTTCCGCCGTGCTGTGAGAAACGTTAGGTCCTGATGAGCTTGTCCTCCGCTGCTCAAGGGACGAGGACAATGATGTGACTGTTTCAGATGATGATAAAATAGTTCTTAATACCCCAATGGCTTGCTGCAGTGCACGGGCCTCCTCTCTCCCTTCCATGTTAATCATGACCTGTACATGACCTCGCGCCAACTTCTCAGCCAATCACAGCGCGATAAAATGGCCTGCCTTCCGTTTCCACTATTGTCCTTCCGTTTCATGTATACTTTGTCTCACACACACATATATTCCTCTCACACACACATATATTCTTCTCACACACACATATATTCTTCTCACACACACATATATTTTCCTCTTACATACATATTTAAAAATATATGAATGTGTGAGTGAAAATATATGAATGTGTGAAGGAAAATATATGTATGTGAGAGTAAAAATATATGAATGTGTGAAGGAAAATATATGTATGTGAGAGTGAAAATATATGAATGTGTGAGTGAAAATATATGAATGTGTGAAGGAAAATATATGTATGTGAGAGTAAAAATATATGAATGTGTGAAGGAAAATATATGTATGTGAGAGTGAAAATATATGAATGTGTGAGTGAAAATATATGTATGTGAGAGAGAAAATATATGAATGTGCGAGTGAAAATATATGTATGTGAGAGTAAAAATATATGAATGTGTGAATGAAAATATATGTATGTGAGAGTGAAAATATATGTATGTGAAAGAAGAATATATGTATGTGAGAGGGAATATATATGTATGTGAAAGAAGAATATATGTATGTGAGAGGGAATATATATGTATGTGAAAGAAGAATATATGTATGTGAGAGGGCCAGAATGAATAATGTCTTGTACGGCCCCTCATAGGAAGCTGTTCGTGGCAGCTCTTGTAGGTTGAAATCAAGACGAACACATTATTAATTAATTAGTTCTCGGCCTCTGTAACTTTTCAAAAAGTTATAAAGCGACATTGTTAAAGAGTGTTAAACCAGCAGCTGGAAGAGGGTCTAAGCTTTCTTAAGACTTCCTTCTTCTTCACTCGAAACACCTGTGGTTTTATAATGTCCGTTTACCCTTTTGTGGTCTGGGCAAACAGGTTATTCAGAGTTTGAGTTTATTTCACAGGTGTTTGTGAAAGTGATCAACTACAGACACACCTACTTTTCCCTTGACAAACAAGACCTCTGCCATATGATGAAAGCGTAAAGTAATAACACAACACACAGTACCTCATTAACATTAACATTAATGTTAAAAAGTTCATATGATGACAGTCAGACATGAGCAACAACAATCCAAACTCAGCAATACAACATACATGGTGTGCAGAACTCCTCTTTCACTGACCTTAGACTTTGATTGGATATTAATAGTGTTGACAAAATTAAGTCAACAATACAAAGTGCAGTTGGAATAAAAGGCAAGCATGTTTATGAAAGGTTTTCAAAAGATAAGCAATATTGAGGAACATTATACGGAAGCCGAGAACAGCCATGGATTTTTAATTTTTTTAATGCACCGTTATATCGTGTTAACGACTTATTATCTTGTTATCTCGATATAACAAAGTTTGTTTTCTCATGATAACTAATTAATTAATAATGTGTTCGTCTTGATTTCAACCTACAAGAGCTGCCACGAACTACGGAAGCCGAGAACGGCCATGGATTATTTATTTTTTTATGCACTGTTATCTCATGATAACGACTTATTAATTTGTTATCTCGACATAGCAAAGATCGTTATCTCGTGATAACGAATTAATTAATAATGTGTTCGTCTTGACTTCAAACTAATGCGCTGCCACGAACGGCTTCCATCACTTACTGGTCGGCTACAGCTACGGCCAGTGGCTACGGAAGCCGTTCGTGGCAGCGTATTAGTTTGAAGTCAAGACGAACACATTAATAATTAATTCGTTATCTCGAGAAAACAAACTTTGGTACAAGAGCTGCCACGAACGGCTTCCTTAGCCACTGGCTGTAGCTGTAGCCTACTGGTAAGTTACACTTTACGTTAGTTTACTTGACTGGAAGCCGTTCGTGGCAGCTCTCGTAGATTGAAATCAAGATGAACACATTATTAATTAATTAGTTCTCGGCTTCCGTAACTTTTCACACTTCTTAAAATTCTTCTTAAATAATTTATGTAAACAAACAACTCTGGGAAAATCCTTTATTGATTTAAGAACAGAATAAAACATAATTAAAACAGACTTTTACTATTTACTATATGCTATATTTCATAGCTTTAGATGAAGATAAATGCTCGTATTCATACAGAATATATTTATCATTTAGTCATAACAAAATCAAAGAGGCTAATAGCGAAAACAATGTTTAGTTTTTGGATCGTTTTTCCTACTTTCACTAAGTTAATGTTGGATATTGAGGTTAATCTAGACTTGACTTGAACTGAGGCTTTAATTTGTGTTTAAGTGATATTTGATTTTGTGACGTGAAAGAAATCACGTGGAACTAATGTATGAGACATCATAATCTAATAATGCATTATATATCATAATCTCCTGTTGTATAAGCATTGCTGTTATATAACTCCTAATGGATCAACAGGTTATCAATGTCATAAGTTAATGACCATGTTGTTAAAGATCCAACAGCTTGTCAGATAGATAAATACAGTATTAGTATATTGTATGTTTGCAGTGAGCTATTATTCGTAATATTCAAAATTCATCTTTATGTCCAGGTACTCTCACAGAGGTGTTTACAGTTCTGTTTTTCTGTGAAGTCACCAAAATCCATGCACTAATGATACGGGTGTAAGGCAAGTTTCCCCATCAGGTGGAACAACACAAACAGGCAATATTAATCAATTTTGTCCTAAAGGTTCAGTGCGTAACATTTAGGAGGATTTATTGACAGTTATATGATATTCTTAGGTAGGTATATTTTCATTTGTGTACTTTGTATAATCACCTGAGAATAAGAAACATCATATTTTCGTTACCTTAGAATGAGCTGCTTTAATCTACAGAGGGAGTGGGTCCTCTTTCAAGGAGTCCGCCATGTTGAACCACCATGTTTCTACAGTAGCCTAGGATGGACAAACACTGGGTCTAGAAAGGCCCTTTTGCATTTTTCACAAATTTCCTGGCCACCGTAGTTTCTCCTACACACTTGGAAAGCTGAGCTATATTCAAATGGTTGCAATCTGTAACTGCACTGCTATATGCCACTAAATCCTACACACTGGTCCTTTAAGAAGAGGTCTACACAGACAAAATAAGTCAAAACACATCTGTGGGAGGACAGAGTACAGCACTAATGCTTTAAAATCAGCGGGGCACAGCTAACACCCTGAACTCTTCGGGGGAATGGGTGAAGCCCACCACGGCCTCCATGCTGGGCATTTCTCCAGGAACAGGAGAAAAGGTGAAGCGTTGAAGGAGACATGTAAAGAACAGGAACAGCTCCATTTTGGCCAGGTGCTCCCCTAAACACACACGTTTACCTGCAGGGAAACAGTAGCTTTAGGTTAGTAGATTCCTAACTTACATGTTGCTATATGAATGGTTGTATGTTGGTAGCAATTCCTGTAAGCTACAGAATATCATTAAAAGTGAGAAAGAACCTGCTGAAAACGGCAAGAAAGCATCCCTCCTGCGAAACTGGCCCTCTGAATCCAAGAAATGCTCAGGGTTGAAGATATCTGGAGTCGCCCACTCATTCTTATCAAGCAGGACGGACCCAAGCATTGTGCTAATAGCTGTGCCCTGGAAAAAAACAGTCATGACATGTTTCATATCAGCTGTGCAGAAAATAATTTACAGATTTTACACCTTGCTATTCATCCCCAGGTGAGTCTGATAATAGTCCTTTACCTTTGGTATGAAGTATCCTCCCAGTGTAGTGTCTTTACTGGCCATTTTAGGGAATCCCAAGGGAACAATATTTCCCATCCTCTGTGTCTCATGGATGACAGCGTCAGTGTAAGGCAGGTTGGGTCTGTCAGCCAGGTTGGGCTGACGAGACTGTCCAATAACTCTGTCTATCTCTGCCTGGACTTTCTCTGAGAGAGTCGCAACAAACTCTTAGGACAGGCTTGAAACTTGACATGAAACTTTCTATAACCTTCATAAGAATACTCCCATGCTCAATGTGACTGATAACATACTAACCCTGTATCTCTGGGTAGTGCAACATGTACACAAGGGCCCAGCGTAAAGTTGTGGCAGTTGTTTCTGTACCAGCCTCAATCAGGTCCAGGGTGCAAACCAGCAAGGTTTCAATGTTGAATCCAGCCTGGGGATCCTCCTTTTTCTAGCAGTGAGTAAGCAGAATAGCCATGCATTCTTAGCCTTAGACAAAACGATTTTTCAGTGCAACAGCTGATATGTATGTCGACATTTTGCTTTACTAAAAATGCGGAAATATCGTACCTTTTCCATCTCTGCCAGGTATACATCGATATAATCACGAGGGTCATCAGGGTTCCACTCTTCCTGGTGCTTCTCTACTTCCTTCTTCAGGAAAGTCATGATCTCCTGGTAGTTTGCGAGGACAGTCTGATGAGGTCCTGGCAGGTACCGCATCAAGCCGGGGAAGGCATCATACAGCTATTGATGGAGCAAACTCTCCGATCAGTAAAAGGCCCAGTTTGTTTTCTGATCACAACTTGATAGCTGAGGCAGATCAGGAATTACCTGAGTCTGAGCAGAGCCAGCGAGCACAATGGCCTCGTTGTCCAACTCAAGAACCTTGCGAAAGCTTTGATCACTGTATTCAAAGCGATGTCCAAAGACCACAGAGGAGATGATGTTACTCACTCCATTTGTTATGATGTAGTGGGGATTGAATGGTCTTCCTGGGAATATAGTGAATTTAATTCAAGTGGTGATAAATCATATTAGGGTGTAGCATCACTTTATTCGCCACATACATTCTGCACAATTGTGATGTGATGATGGTACACTGTTAACCATATTTATGCAGTAGTCAAGTTATGTGATCTAACCGATTAATCTATGATCTACATGCCTTGTTCCTCTTTGAAAGCTTCACAGATGAAGTTGCTTTCTACTTCAATGCATGTTTCCAGTGACTTCTGCCCCTCTCCAAAATAACGCAGGTGAGTGTTGGCAAACTTCCTCTGCTTCCTCCACAGGTAACCATTGCTCAAAGCTATGCCTGTGGGAATGTAATATCAATTTTTTTACAAATCAAACAACCACTGCACAAAGATTGCTGCGTGTAGATTCAGAATAGTGTGTATTGTGTTTATGAATTCTACGACTTATGAGCATCTACACTGAGAAGACTTCTCAAGATAACGGCATTAAAAATGCAAACATGACTGCTTTTGGCCTCTGAAAGAAGATCTGCGGTGGCATACACTCATACTCACCAATGCCCTTGAAGATAACATGAAAGAGAGGGACGATAGGTCGATCAATAAAGCAGTCCAGCTGGTTAACAAGAGCCTCTTTGACCATCTTGTATCCCGAAATAAACACCATCCTCTCACTGCCTCTCCTCAAGCTGAACACTGGACCATACTCCTGAGCAAGCTGCATTTAAAACAAATTACAAAATTACAAAAGCGCTGTATTCTTTCAATATAAGAATGATACATTTAATAGAAACAATGGCAGTTTTTGTCCAATGAAATGCTTAAAAAGTGTGAACAATTGTATAAACACTGGCTGCAAAAGGTTGGTCTCACTCTATTGTTCATGCTCATAATGAAGTTCCCCTTGTGACCACTGTTTCTCTGTGTGCCAATTGTTGTTTGAAGAGATGTTTGAAATATGTTTTAATGATTTTTGAATCTATTCTCTTTGACATACTAAGTAAATTAGTACTTATTTTCCATGCATTGACCTGCAGTTTGTCACTGATTATTATGTTTTGAGCTGCGAAAATGTTTCATGTTATTTTGAAAACTCACATACAGAATGGTGGTTGAAATTATTTTATAGCTTAAAATAAAAATTTGGTTTGGGTAAAATACATGAATATGTACTGTGTCATCATGTTGACAAGGCTACATTTTATAAGCCAAATTGCTCCTGGGATATTAAAGGCCCAGTGTGTAGGATTTACTGGTATCTAGTGATTGCAGCTAATTGAACACCACTTGCAACTGTATTTGATAATCTGCATTAAACTTGCAAAAAATGCCAAAGTCCTCATCAAGTGTTTGGTTTGTCCATTCTGGGCTACTGTAAAAACATGAGTCTAGTCTGGGAAACTAAAATGTTATTGTTCACCTTACCTTTTCCATTGTCTTGAAGCCAACTCCTGTGAAGACATTTCCCAGAAAAGGCAAAGCCCAGGGTCCAGGTGGAAAGTTGTGTGGCCTCCAGTTTCTGACCACATCAGTCAAAAGTAACACAACAAAACTGAACAGCAGCCAACTATACAAGTCCATACACTCAAAAAGTGCTTGAAAAATCATGATAAAGAGATTTCAAAAAGCCCTCTGTAAAATCAGTGTGCTCCTGCAGACATGATGGTGGCGCCTCTCACATTATATGGTGGTGAAGTGGAGGAGGCCCAAACAAGGAAATGTTATATAACAGTGGTGGCCTCCCAGGACCTCTGAAGTGAAAAACAAGGCTGGAGCATGAACTCTGGTTGCTGACTGCATGCAATAGAGCAATATTATCAGCTGATTTTGGCCTGTTGCATACATACCAGTTGTTTTTTTTCCATTTCATGCACTGCAGAGGGGCCTGTAGTTTTTACAGGACAGATGTTATTAGCTATTTATTTTAATTTTATTTATCATTTATTTTGTCAGTGTTCATTTTTTCATTTTTATATCATTCATCATTCATCATATATTATATATATTTTATTTAAATGTGTGTTGACTGCATGCTGGTTATACAGGAAAATGAATGACAAATTAAACCATTTCATATCATGTGCTTGAACACTAGTGCCCATGAAGCGGTCAACAAAGACATTCTGCTTCCTTGTTTGGAGTTGGCAATTAGTTTTAAAAAACATGTTCAACCAAATATCCTGCAGCGATCTTACCACATTTTGCTCAGAATAAGGCAAACGTGCATTCATGTTTCTCATTCAGCAGAGAAATGTAACCAGGAGTTACTGGGCAGTAACTCATCAGTGGAAAATTGACAGCAAAACACAGCAAAACAGTCAGCTGCACAAACAGTTCCAACTGGAGATGAGAACAACACATTTATACTGCATACAAAAAACTGCATGGGATTCACATAAAGTGTGAACGTCTATGAAGGGGAGACTCGTGGACACCCATAGAACCCATTTTCATTCAGAACGATCCCTTTGAAACTGGCCATGCCACTTTGGACCCCTTTTTTTTTTAATTTAGTCCCCTTCCCAACAAGCCTGCATGACATGGTTTTTACAAATGGATGCCTTAGATCTTCTAGTTTTATACCAATATCTTCTAGCGCCGTTGTCCCCCAGTGTCTGTCTCTATGTGACGTGTATATTTACACCCTTTCTTTTCCCCTGGGATTTTTGATATCTTCAGAAAAAATAATTAGCCTAATTTATTAAATGAACACAACTATATCCCAAAACCATGGAAAATCCTATGATTTTAGACACTGATCAATAGTCTAAATAAATAATTGCACAAGCTATACTGTCCTTCTGTCTTCTGTCTAAACCTGCTCTATTTGAAAAGTGTCCTGAGATAACTTCTGTTATGAATTGGCACTATACAAATAAAATTGAATTGAATTGAAATTGAATTAATAAAGTAAAAGTAATCTTAGGAACAATGTGTTTTATGATAATTAAAACTGTGAGAGGTAAATGCACTGACCATCATATTTTTCATTCACACTTTAAAGAACAACTTTATTGTAAGGCTTCTATGCAGTTGAAAAGTCAGAAATAATAAATTATTAATATAAAGATAGATAATGGTCTAATACAACAAAATATTATAGACATTAAAATGTTTAGTTGTTAATTTTTCTTCTTATGGGTTATGACCCTATGTTCAGCTGAGTATGAAACACGTGTTGGACAGAGACAAACAAATGTGAGGAGAAGCAGGAGGTTTGCATTTGAGCTCTCTTTATGTGTGGTTATGATTCAAGATGTGTGTGATCTTATATTAACAGTTAGTTAAATGTTATGCTCCACACAAACACAGCCTTAGCATCTAACATCACCTTAACTGTGCAGCTGAGGACAAATTATACAGTCTTATATTGTCTTATTATACAGAACTCTGGTGTTAGTTAGTTTGTGGTAATTTTACTTTACTTGAATATGCATCATGTAACCACAATATAAACTATAAACTAGCCTCTAAAATAAAGGGTCATTAAATGATGCAGGGCCCACCTTAGTTAATACTGTACTCAAGAGGAGCAAATTACTGAACACATTTGCAATAAATCAAATTACCAAAATCAACTGGTGTACAGGGAACTTGGGGCTTTTATGGCTCCTCTGGGGGCTTGGGAATTTTGTCTGCTCTCCGCAGGTGGTGATCCAACCTTGACTCATATTAGTCCTCAGAGAGATGGATCTACAAGGGCACAATGGAGGAAAGTAACTAAGGACCGTAACTCAGTCCAGTTACTTTTACATAAAACAGTACTGCCACTTAAGAACACACAGACTTCTTCCTGTGTGCATGTTTTGGCTTTTATTTTGAAGGATAGGAATGCAAACATAAAGTCTTGGCTGGCTTGGTTAATGGTTATAAAAGCAGCCCACTTACCTGGCTCTGAGCTTTGTACAGTCGTGATAGTGCAACTAACAGTTTAAAATAAATAAGCCAACAAATGGAGACACTATACAATGTACTGGGCTTGGAGTGGATGGACGGCAGCAGCATTTTGATATTTCTGTGTGTGTTTCTGTTGTTGACTGATGTTATGAAGCACAGAGCACCGAATAAATTTCCTCCTGGACCGTGGTCTCTTCCTTTGATTGGAGACCTTCATCGCTTCCACCCTAGTAGAATGCACCTGCAGCTCACAGAGGTATGTCGAGGTCAGAGGTGGGATGTAATGAAGTATTTAAGTACAGTACTTGTCACAGATTTGAGGTACTTTACTTGAGCATTTTCTCTTCTCGCCTTTTTCTACTTCTTCTCCACTTTTCACTGAGGTTAAATTTTTAATGCAATGACATTAACTTGTAACAGAGTTTTTTACAGTGTTGTATTAGTACATTTACTTAAGTAAATAATCTAAATACTACCTCCACCACTGGTTGAGGTCATACACACAGTATTAGATCCCATTCAGTCAAATAAAATGTCTGAGGCTTTTTACAAAAACACCACTTGGACTCGGCAGTCAGTGATTTATTTTTACACTTTTCCAAAAGTTATTACTTTTCCATAATGGAAGATGACACTGAATAACATTTTCTCTTGAATCTGGTTATAGAAGAATCACAAAAGCAACATTTCAGAGTTGTTATACAACAGGCATGTTCCTCTTGAAAAAAGGAAGGAAATCATTAACTCAACACAATGGTGGAAAACAAATCCAGCCACACTGTTTGGTCTGATTTATACAAGATCATTAAAATACCCAAAGACGTTAGGTAACACCACAATTTCAAGTAATTTGTCAGATTTTATGTATGATACACTTTGGTAATGTCAAACAGTAGTGTATTGGGATCACACCCTCTTGCTGTAAGTACTAATCTGTAAAACAAATAACCTACACTTCCCTACACCGCCCACAATACAAACTCTCAAGATTGCTTTTCAAGATCAAAAATTCCTGTTGCAGTTAACCTACTACACTCAGCAGTTCAAAGCCCAATAACCAAAGGTAAAACACATCATATAAACCAACTAAATACACAATTGTGTGTGTGTGTGGTTGCATGCCAGAAGGAATGTGCCTTTGTCTTTGTACTGACCGTATGTTCAGCTGAGTATGAAACACGTGAGGAGAAGCAGGATGTTTGAATTTGAGCTCTCTGTATTTGTGGTTATGATTAAGGCCAATTTAAGATGCGTGTGATCTTAGATGAACAGTTATGCAAAGGCTGTGTTTGTGTGGAGCATAACATTTAACTATCATCATCATAACTGTGCAGCTGAGGACGAATTATACAGTCTTATATTGTCTTATTATTCAGAAGAGGCCTTCATTGAATACCTTGATGGCAGAGAGGTTTCCCCTGTGAATTTTGGGACCACAAAAAACAAAAGAAAAACAAAAAAACAAATCACCTACAGCTCTCTACACCACCCACAATACAAACTCTCAACATTCCTTTTTTTAAAACAAAAACTCCTGTTGCAGTTAACCTACTTCACTCAGCAGTTCAGAGCCCAAATATGACACAACCATAAGCTTAGTCACTTTTCACAATTTTATGATATTTTATAAATCAAACAGATTAATTGAGAATATAATATTCAGATTAATCGATGATGAAAATAGTTAGTTGCAGCCCTAACTGTTTGTTTAGATTTGTAGACTCAAATGTAGTTTAACCATGACATTCGATCTGCTTCAGTACACCTGAAGGACAAATTACATTTAACATCCATCAAAAGACACTACCGCTGACCGTACACAGTCCAGCCATATACTAGATTTTTGTTTTAATTTCATCCTCAGAAAGTACGTCAGCTCAGTGTTGAACCAAAACATCAGTCTGCTTCCTGTGTTCAGTTTGCAGAGAAATATGGGAAGATTTTCAGCCTTCGTCTCTTTGGTGGAAGGATTGTGGTCATTAATGGATACAAGCTTGTGAGAGAGGCCCTGATCGAGAAAGGAGAGGACTTCATAGATCGCCCCGTCATACCACTTTTTGATACAATATTTGGGAATAAAGGTAGTGTTGTATTTTGTTTAAAAAGTTGCTAGTGAGTATTTAGTTTGGGTAGTTGTATCAGACTGACACCATATTAGTGTTTAGCTAGTTGTGAGTTTTTATATCCATTTACAATTCTGGTCTAATGCTCTTTTGTGTTTCCAAAAGGTCTGGTTATTTCAAATGGCAATCTATGGAAGCAGCAGAGGAGATTTGCTCTTCATACACTCCGAAACTTTGGTGTTGGCAAGAAGACTCTGGAGCCATCCATCCAGCAGGAGTGCCAATATCTCACTGAGGCTTTCGCCCTTCAGCAAGGCACAAAACTGATCTTATTTTTCAACAAGCAACATAATCAGCTCATGCCTCTTAACTAGTTATAGGGCAGAACGCTTTTTCACTATGACACATTATTTTTAGCTGGCTAGTCCTATAAATGTGTCTGTCCCTGAGTGATTACACCAGCAGTCAGTTGAGTGCCATTGCTCTTTGACGTCTACTCAAAATGAGTAGACGTGAACGCTCATGCAGGAGACCAGAAAATACTGGTTAAACTCTGAGCAAAGAGACTTAATTGCTTTATGGGAAAACTGGTTCATCCAGATCAGAGCGTTTTCATCCCTGGTTGAAACTCCCAACTATTACCAACCTTAGACGCCTTTTTAATGCAATGTACCATTCTATATCCTGCCTGATTGATCTTAATAATTGTTTCTCTTGATGCTGAAAAAGCATTT